GAAAATCTATAATATAAGGTTTTAATGTACTTAAGATTCAAGTTCGAACTCGGGTTTAAATTTCAATCGAATTAAGTTTGAGAATATTTCAAGTTCAATATTTTTCGAGCTTGAATCGTGATTCAATTTTTAATTTCAAATTAAACTTAAAAATTTTAAACTTGCAAGCTTTCAGTTGAATCAAAGTGAGTTTTAGTTTACCGCCCTAATTTCATTTTTGTACTTAAAAAATTAAGTTTTCATGTTTTAAAGCAAAATGGATATATCATTTATCAAAAAGATCGATTCATGCGATTCTAATAGCAAAAAAATCTATCCCGTTTTTGAAAATAATAAAAAGGATGGATCATTTCCCAAAATCGACCAGTCTTTTGGCTGATAATAGTCGTATTTTCTTTTGAAAAATATTGATTAATTTTATAAAAAAATATTGATCTTTCATACCACAAAATTTTGAATTTTTTTGTAATTAATGACATTTTTATATTTCAACGACTCTTAATTATTAGAAATTATAGAGATAATATAAAAAAGAAATCAAAGTAACTCAACGATTATGAGTCTATGATAAGCATGGTCGAGAAGATATATAAACATTCAAGTGTATTTTTAGTGTTAAATTATTTTATTTTATATTTTAAAATACTTGTCAGATATCATTGTTCAAAGGGTTCATTTGTGTGAAAACTTAATTTTACAAACATTCAATGTTTGTGAAGATTATTTTCAGTTTACCGATTTATTTATTTAGAAAGGTTCTTAAGGTTTTTGGTATAAATATCTTATCCTCAGATGTATGTTAATATAGTGAATTTATGAAAATTATTAATGTTGATAGATAAATTAATACATATGAACTTGAATTAGAAATTGAATTACTATAAATTTTTATACAAATTATTTATGGTTGTATATAGGTTTCACAAAATTGACAATGCACACGCTTTAGACGCAAGTACTCTAATATAAGATTTTTAAAGATAATGATATTCTCTTTTACATTGAAATCATTTGATAGATTCATTAACCACTTAAAAGTAAGGGTGAGCAAAACTCAATTCGAATTGATTTTGAGTTGGAATTTTTATAAATCTGACTCGAAAAGATTTCAAGTTCAAGTTGAATTATAAAACACAACTCGAATTACTCGAAATATTTAGTAATTAGTGGATTGATTTTCAAGTTTGAGTTGAGTCTCTCGATTCTATATGATATATATATCAAATACGAAAAAAAAATATGAAGAAATAACCTCTCTAAAATAATAATTTTTCTCGGTCCCGACTTGAACCCAAGGTCTAAATTAATAAGATGATAATTTTTTTGAAAGACCCTTATATAAATTTATGGTCTCTTCAATATTATAAATTAATAATTCTATAAAATTATAAATATAACTAGAAAAACTCAGTAAAGTATGATTATATTTTTGTTTGCTTCTTAAAATTTAAATCTGGTTGTATTTCATCTCTAACTTTCTTTATTGCATTCAAAAGTTTCGATGTTGTGTTCTCATACTGCAACAAATAATTGTGGAGAGTTGTTGCTGCTATGAGTGCTTTCTTCCGCGTAATTGGTTTGTAAAGACATTGTATCATATTCAATTTTGGTTACAGAGTAACTTAATGAATTCATGTCATGAAGAATAATGTAGGTTCGTTGAATCAAATCTTTAAACTAATAAATTATTAATTTATCAATTAATTAATATTTATTTAAATTAATAAAATCACATGATCCCGACATTATTAATCTATAGAAGTTTTACTTTATATGATTATAAAAATTCATGGGTCTGTTTGTTTGGTTGTAATTGGTTTTTCGGAAAATGAATTACTGGAATTTGAATTACTGAAACTGGAAAATGAATTACTGAAATTTGAATTCTAGAAAATGAATTATATTTTTGGAAAACATTTTCCAAAAAATGTTTTCTGTAAAATGAATTACATTTTTCTGAAAAACATCTGTAAAACGTTTTATGATGTTTGGAAGATGTTATTTAAACTTTTTTTCCACTAGTTAAAGAGTTTTTTAAAATTTATCTATTATAAATATTAAATATAATAAATAATATTATTTATCATAAAACTTAATATTATTATTTTAAAATATTAAAATAATTTATTTATTATTAAATATTATTTTTATAATTTTATTAATAAAAATAATATTTTTTTTGTATATTTTAGTGAAATAAAATATTATAAATTATATTAATTATTTATTAAAGTAATAGTGTTATATTATATTTTAAAATATTAATTAGTATATTTTAAATATCTTTATTAAAATATTATTTAAATATATAAATAATATTATTCATTATTAAATATATAAAATTTTTATTATATATTATTAAAATAAAAATATAATATCTTATATTATTATAATATAATTGATTATTTTATATAATATTAAAAATATAATATTATTATAAATATTAATAAATAAATAAATAATATTTTGATGAAAATGATATTAAAATATTTTATTAATATTAAATTCATAAAATAAAATTATTTTAAGTATTTATTCTTTGGAGTGAAAAGTTCGGAAAATGACTTACGAAAAATGAATCCGTAAGTTATTTTACAGAAAACACAAAGGAAATTCTGTTACTAGGAAAATGAATTACATTCCGGAAAACCAATTACGTGAAACAAACACGGAAAATATTTTCCGAAAAACGAATTACATGAAATAAACACAGAAATTTGGGAAAAACCAATTCCGTAATTTCAATTACGGCAAACAAATACATTTTAAATTGAAATCAAATAATATTATAATATTATAAATAGTTACAATTAAATTTAAACATAAACTCGAAAAAACGACTCGACTTGAATTTTATAAAATTGACTTGACTCGAAAAAATTTCAAGTCAAATTTGAGTTATAAAATAGGACTCGTCAATTCGAATAACTTAAAAATTTTTCACTCTACTCGATCGAGCGCACAAGCATACTTAAAAGATTAAGTTAATAATATCAGTACTCTTAATTGAAAAATAATGATAAAATAAAACAAACCTTTTTCCTTCCGGTGCAAATCTGCATAGCATAGTTCAAAATCACTTCAGTTCGCGGTTCGATGGCAGCCGCGAATACATGAACCTTGAGATCGCCTGAAATTAAAAATTAAAAAGAAAAATAATCCAATCGTACAGGGAATATAGATTAATCCAATGCAATCCAAAGCAGTAAAGGAAAGTACCTCAACTGGGCTCGAATAATGAAACATCAATGGACGGAGGCCACTGAATGAGGAAGTAGCCGGCAGATTCGATATCGTCGGAAGTAGATGATGGGAGGTTTGAGTGTATCCAGCGTCCATGCTCCCTTCACTGCCATTAACGGCTACGATTACGCATCTTAAACCTCCAGGCATGACTACAAATGATTCTTTGACTTTAGCGTTGTTTGGAGATGAACCGAGTCACGATTGATTGTCTGTTTCTCTGATCTCTCCTGTGTAACTGACTCGTTTCGCTAACGACTGAGTCAGCGTGCAGAGTGACGAGTCGTCTGGCTGGCTCTTCAAGCGCGCCAATGGGGATGAGAGAGAAAAGAGGCAAGCAATTGAAGCGCGCCAATGGACAAAAAGAGTCAAAAGTCGGTGCGAAACAACCCTGAAGTTGACTAATAAGCTCACCGACACTCAGATTCAGTAATAAATTTGATTTCCATTTCTGCCCATTTCACAATAATGTCATTTTCCAACAAACAAAACAAACCACCAAATTTGGGCGTGCATTACCAAAATAATAAAATACGGCAAATTTCAGTGTTTTAACATAAGTCATTATTACACATATGATTATGGAATACGTAATCCAATTCATTAAAAGGTTTGGATATCTTTTAATATACTAATATTTATATATTTATTTGCATATTATATTATATAATTATAATCATGTCATATTTATTATCATTTGATTGTAAACATGCCCCATTTTTAAAATTAAAAAATAAATAGATAAAAAATAATCAAATCAAATTTACCCAAAATCATTTTTTCAAAGACTCAACAAAAAAAAATTAATTAATTTGGAAAATGGTGAGTGAACCATCGTCATCAGCTTCTGGTCTTCCACCAAACCAAAAACAAATCTACACCGTCCGGTTCCTCTAAAAATTTAAAAGAATAAAGGAAAAGTACACAAATGGTCCCGGATTATATGATACTATTTGGTTGAGTCCCTCAATTATTAAAAATTACAAAATAATCCTCTAATTATAAGACGTTGCTTTATTAAGTCCTTCTACTATTAAAAGTTAGAAAATGATCACTCAACTATTCATATATTTCAAACTCGTCATTTTTCATTAAAAAATAACGGTCGTTGAGATAGACGTTAACCTGTTGATTAAGATATGATAAAATTTGATCGCAGAATCGTTTGAATTGTATAATTATTTGAGATTTTAGGATCAAATGTTATTATATCTCGATCAATAGGTTAACGTCCAATTTAGATAGCCGTTAATTTTTTTTTTTTAAAAAAGAAAGGACAAGTTTGAAATATATGAATATTTGTGTGATCATTTTATAATTTTTAATAGTTGAGGCACTCAACAAAGTAGCAACCTAGAGTTTAGGGGCTATTTTATAACTGTTAATAGTTGAGAGACTTAAAAGAATATTTCTATATAGTTGGGGGACCACTTGTGGTAATTTACCCAAGAATAAAAATAGATGTAAAACCGGTTCAACCCGTGCCCCCACCCTGATCCGAATATTTGATGGCCAAAGAATTCACGCTTCTCGATTCCTGAAGACAAAATTCCTTTCCCTCGACCACCAGTTTTCCCTTTATAATTAAGGAAAATATAATTTTTTTAATTTAAAATATTGATATTTAACTACTAATTTAAATGTAGTTTTTTAATATTATTTCTCCTTTTTATTGTTCTTTCTCTCTGTTAAAAACTCGATCTAAAAAAAGAAAAAAAATTGTTGTCTGATAATCAGCCGAGCTGAAGAAGAAGCTTAAGCTTTCACCTTTTTCGCTAACTCAAGCAATATTAACATTCTTGTCTCACTGCCAATCCCTTTTATATTTGTTTATTTTCTATTTTATAAAATAAAATTCTCGACTGATTTCATTTTTCGATATCACGGTTGCGGTTCAACGGTCTTTGTTTCAGTCCAAAATCAACGGCTGCGGTTGCATGTCAGACGGCCGGACTTAGTTCCTCCGCGAGAGCGACCGAGAGGGCGAAGTCGTTGGAATCTATGTGTATTGGTGAGGTAAGGAAGTTAGGATTTGCCGTCTCCGTTGGAGGCCTATTAATATCGGGTGCAGGATAAATGCTTCTTGTTGGGGATCTAGGGTTTTCGAGCCCGGTCCTTTTGGTCTCCCTCGTCCTTCCTTTGATCGGCTTTTTCATTAGGCGGAAATGGCGGCTATCTGTAGCCAGGCAAGCGGAGATCCAGAGGCTTTTGATTTTGGCCTCGGAGGAGACCGCTAGGGCCGAACTTGAAGCCACTGTTGGACACGGTGCGGTTTCCATTTCGCGGAACTATCACCAATGCGCCGTTTGTTATCGTCCTACTACTACTCGGTGCGCCCGCTGTAAAACTGTTCGATACTGGTATGTTAGCTTGTTAATTTCGGGTTATTTTTCTAATTTATTTAGAATTGTTTTCTTTCTTCATTTAGGCCATTAGTTTGAGATTCGATTCTGTAAACCGTATGCAATTGAAAGAATATTGATTAGATGAGTGCTTCAATTAGCGCAGTGCAAGTGCTGGTCTAATTCAATACGCTGTAACCTGGATACATGTATGGTAGGCATATAATTGGGGCAAAAGGTTTGTGTTTATGCGGTGAGAAACAAAGCAATTTAGAGAGTTGGTGAAAATGAATTATAAACTCAACATCCACAATCTGTCATTGACGGGAAGGTTGTTGTTAGTCTTAAATGCTGCTACATTTTGATGGATAGTTATGCCGATTTTCAACAGATGTTTTAGTTTGTAAACTTAACATCACCTTTTTTCTTTGTTTCCTTCTTCGCTTGCAGTTTAAGAGTTCTTTATTCATTTTTTCAGGTCATGCATTTTAGGGGTTGACTTGTTTAAATGTTTTTTATGTAAAAGAAAAAAATATCTCATTTGTAGAATAGTTTAGCATTTTCCCGTTACTTTGCGGTAATGTTATTGATGTGTTTTACTGATTGGATGGGACAACAATGGTAACCTATTGCTGTATCTAGCATTACTTTTCTGATGATACCGTTCATTATGTACAGTCTCTCAGTAATATTTTGTTTACATCAAAATTTGGATGTTTCAGTTCTCCTAAGTGTCAAATTATTCACTGGCGTCAAGGTCACAAGGAAGAATGTCATCCACCTCCAATTGTTGAACACCAAAATCATGATGACGAAGGTCATTATGGTCAGAAGGCAATAGAAGAAGACCAACATGGAGACGACTATGAAACCGAAGAAAAGTTGGATGCAAAGTTAACTGGAACAGCCTCCACAGAATCTGCATTGTTTAACTCCACAACAGAACTTGCATTGTTGAGTTCCTCTAGCTCTTCTGCAGTTTTACAAGGGAAGGATAATGATGCAAAGGTTGAGTTTCATGCTGATGGGGAAGGTCTGAACTCTGCTTCTGAATCTTCTGGTGCTTCATTTTCTGGATTCTCATCTTCTGCTGCTGGTAGTGAATCATCTGGTGATGTTTCTGTGTGTGAGAGCATAAGTTCAGATGAGCCTGATAAATTAGATAGTTTTCTTTCTGCTGATGCTAATCTTGACACATTTTGGACTTCGTCTGTTGTCAACAATTTGGATCAAACCAATCCATCATCTACAAAATTTGTTAGGCTGATAGAGTCTGTAGATAAAAATTCTAAAATAAATAAATTAAATCAAACTAAGCCTGATCAAAGTGGAGAGAGCCAGTGCAGAGCAATTAGTCCTTCAGGGTCAGGTGGTAGGGATATGTGTGAGGACTCAATTGCTGAGGGTTCTAGATTGTCTTCTGATTTTTGGGACAGAACTCTGGAATCAGTTCCATCTACCAATGTTGCTAACAATGAGTCTTTTAACACTTATCATAAAGACGTTATAGAGGCCTCACTTGATTCTGGATCATCCTTACATTTTTCTTTGGCTTTGTCTGGAAATGCTTCTTCCTCACATCCACACAGCTCCAAGGTGAAAGATACCAAATTGGATGATGCTCCTCAGGGTGCTACTACTTTGGGGACAGCCAAGCTTTCTAATGGAGTAACTTCAGAAAATGTTGTTTTAGGTTCTTCGAATGTCAGAAACTCCAAGTCTTCAAATTCTGAATGGGCTAACTACGTGGAGTGTAGGTCTAACAATATTCAGCATGCCGCAAAACCCAAAGAAGCTACCTGTACAGATGTTCCACCAGTCAGTGGCTTGCCGTCCTCATGTTTTGAAAAATCATGCTCTACTTATGTCATTAATGGACCTATCAACGCTTCTCATACATTAAAGCCATCTGATGCTTATTCATCCAATGCTAGAGTGCATATTGTCCCCAGTGTGAAATCTGAGAAAATTGACGATGATCCTGCAAATGTTGCTAAATTACCTCAGGTTTGTAAGAATGGGTTGAAAACCTCTATGTTGAAAGTTGTTGATCAATTAAGAGGATCTAAATTGCCAAAACGCCATCAACTTGGAGCTAGTAATGAGGTTGGTGGAAAATATAGTGATAAACTTAAAGTTGTTATTTTTGAAGCCTAATGAGCCTTTGACATATTAGCTATTTTTTGGCCTTTGCAGGAAATGTTTTCTTATGAAAACTTTGTCAAACTTTATAGTTGGAATAAGGTGGAACTGCAACCACGTGGCCTTATAAACTGTGGAAATAGGTAATATAAGATTTTTTTACTGTGATGAACGGTTATGGAAAAAATATACTGTGCTTAATTTGGTTTTATACTATTGGCTAAATCCATCAACACTGTTGCACATTTGGTGTTTCCAACAGAACCACCATGACGTTTATATGTATAGCACCCTCATAACAGCCCTATCCTAAAATCACTATTCTGAAAGGTTATAAATCCGGAACAGTGTGAAATATTTTTAGTTAAGTATGACGATCAAGAAAAATAAATACAAACTAAAACGTAAGCAATATTACAGAAAATCATCTTCTCCCATGAGGTTTAACAAAAAAAATTCAGTAAAAAAAATACCCCATATATCTAGTGTGACAGAAAAGACCCATCTTTTTTATAGCTAAATAGCTGCAATATTTTTCAAATTTAACATTGAAACTTGCAGAGTATTTTCCAGAAGAAAAATGAATAGACTTCTAGTATAGTCTGGGTTAGACAAGTCCAATTGTTGTCTATTTTCTGCATCAGGGAACAATATTGCTTGATAATGTTCCTGCCTTGTACTTCTTCTATTGGGCATTCCTTACATGCATATTTTTAAATTATGAGTTTTCATCATTTAAGTAGTGTTGGACATTGGATGTTTATATTTTACTTTTTTTGTCTTTTTCTGTTGTTAATGTGCTATTTACTTTGCACAGTTGTTATGCCAATGCTGTCCTCCAATGCTTGACTTTCACTCCTCCTCTGACTGCTTACTTTCTTCATGGACTCCATTCCAAAGCATGTATGTCCCTCTAATGTTTCCGAGCTGGAATTATTACATTTTTGTGTTTTAATGTAACATGTTGGATGACTCTTAATATAATTTCTTAGGTGCAAAGAAAGAATGGTGCTTCATGTGTGAATTTGAAAATCTAGTTTTGAAGGCTAAAGATGGGAGATCTCCACTGTCCCCCATAGGAATACTTTCCCAACTACAAAACATTGGTAGTCAACTTTCTAATGGGAAAGAAGAAGATGCACATGAATTTTTAAGGTGAGATACATTTAGCAATGTTTAAATGTTTACTTCATGAGAAATCCTTTCGATAAAGTTGAACTAGTTGATTGATGAATTTACATTTGGTAGGTATGCTATTGATGCTATGCAATCTGTTTGTCTTAAAGAAGCTGGGGTGGTTTCATCAAGTTATTTAGAAGAAGAATCGACTTTAATAGGTTTAACATTTGGAGGCTACCTTCGGTCAAAGGTAATATCTAAGACCAATCTATGTTTTGGCTGCACTTCTCTTCTTTGTGTCATGCACTCAAGGTCATATCTGGGTAAGAGTTTTGTTTTAAAATGCAAATGTTGCATGTAAACTTGTTACTATTGTCTACAGATAAAGTGTATTAAGTGCCAAGGCAAGTCTGAACGACATGAAAGAATGATGGACCTTACAGTTGAAATTGAAGGAGAAATAGGAACCTTGGAAGAGGCACTTCGACGGTTTACCAGGACAGAGATTCTGGATGGAGAAAATAAGTACCAATGTTGCAGGTTGGCTCGCTTACATTTTAATCTTTCAAAAGTTTAGACTATCAATACAATGCAAAGACTTTTGAAGATGAACTTTTATGGAAATAATCCTTTGGTTGACAATTTAACTTTCGGAGAAATAAGGTGGGAGGATTGGCTCAAAAACATAACCATTTTTTTTTCTTTGGTTTCAATTTTTAACTTGGAAAAATTGTCTTTGTTTGTATAAACAGTATACTCCAAAGAAGCTATAGGTTGTATTTTGATGCTTCTTGAGATCAAAATTTCTTTAAATTTTAGAAGCTAGAGTGTACATATTAGATTAGTTTTTCTCTGCTGTGTGATGTGATCATGCAAAGGTAGCTCCTTGATAGTTTTCTTCTTCGTTTTGGCCAAAATTTCATTGATAGTTGAAACGTGAACTCTATATTTTATGATTTTGTTAGATCTATATGCTGAAAATTAAACAAATAACAGAACTATGGAATTATAATTGTATGTGAAAAATATTGTGCTTCATCAAAGATTGATAAGTGGCATAAAGTTACTCCAATGATAAATTTTATTGAACATTTCCTTTTTGTTGAGTTTTTGTGTTTGTTGACATTGGTGGCTGTATTTTGCAACTACATTCATCTGCATGGTTGCAGGTCCTCAATAAAATTTACTGGTAGAAGGCATCGATTTTATAGTTTTGCTCACTTTTCTGTCTTTGATTTTTTTTTCAGATGCAAATCTTACGAGAAGGCCAAAAAGAAGCTGACAATATTAGAGGCTCCAAATGTTCTTACAATTGCTTTGAAGAGATTTCAGGTACACCATTCAATAAAGAATGTTGTTTTGTTCTTTGTTTTTGCAAATTCTAACAGTTTAAGTGTGTATTATGTTGCAGTTCGGTAAGTTTGGAAAGCTTAACAAAGCAATTCGATTCCCTGAGATCCTGAACTTGGCACCATATATGAGTGGGACAAGTGATAAATCACCCATATACAAGCTCTATGGTGTCGTGGTCCATTTGGATATTATGAATGCAGCATTTTCGGGTCACTACTTGTGCTATGTTAAAAACGCACAAAACAAGTGGTTTAAAATTGATGACAACACGGTATGTTCTCTACAACTATCTTCTGTTTACCTTAAGCCATTTCATTTGTTTATTGCATGCAATTTTCCTCAATCTATGTTTTCATCGACATTATATTTTGGTTACCTCTCTTTAGTTTTTGTAGAATCATGTTCTGTTTGAGCTTCCTAACTTAATCTGAAGGTTATTGCCATATGTAATGGTTTATCTGTTGTTGCCATGCTTGTAATAATCATTGATTCTTTTAAACGCTTCACTTTAGTTAACAATCACTTAATTTTCCTGTATAAAAAGATTTATACGAAAATTCTCCCTCTTTCTTGGAAAGTAAGCGAAAGGTGACTTTGTTTACCAACTTTTGATTCTGGATTGAATTAAACTTTTAAGTAACTTTTGCTCATGATTTTCCCCCCTTTTGTCTGATGAACCAATCCTAGCCCTCTCATGTTCTGTCTTCATGTTACACACATTATTGTTGTATTCTAATTATGTTGAATCGTTCCTCAAGTTTTTTTGGGTCGATGATAATTTGGCAGGTAACTTCTACAGAACTCGAAAGGGTTCTAACAAAAGGAGCATATATGCTTCTTTATGCAAGGTAAAGAATCTGTTCCTCAGTTTGGTTTTTAGTTTATAAGTTGTCATTGCTTGATGCTTTAGGAAATTATCTTGCAGGTGCTCACCCAGGGCCCCAAGATTGATGAGGAACAGAAACAAGGCCATTCCATCGAGGGTTAATTCAAAGAATCTGCTGAAGTCAAGTTCTTTGACACATTCTAGTCTTGATGAATTCTACCCCAGCTTGATTCATCGAGATACTCATGGGAGCATTGGATCTTTTTATTCAAAATTCAATCATCTGCAAAGGATTTTAGAGGACTCATCGTCAAGTGACAGTTCTTCTCTTTTAAGCAGCAACTCTGATGAAGGTTCCTGCTGTACTGACAGCACACGCGATTCTAACAGCGCTGATGACTTACTAGATTCTATATTCGGTGATTCGATACATGGGTTTAACAGCCCATGGAGGGGTTCTGATTCCGATGCTTATTCATCTTCCTCGTCTTCCCCCCTTTACTCGAGGCATTAACCCTGTGCTGATTTTGACCGATATGCTTCAGGTTCACCTGAAATTCGCAACTCTAGAATGAATGGTGAAGGTAAGGGAGATGATCCTTTTTCCCACTCCGACCTGAGTAAACAGTGTAGAGGCAGCAGTAGGCCTAGGGAAACTGACTCAGAAAGATTAGTAGGGTTTAACCCTTTAAATGATGCATCTTTTTAGAGAAAATCAACGAGGGGGAAAAAAGAACAGATTAAAAATCTTATTATGAGATATCGAATTTTAAAAAGAGAGGTAAATAAGATATTGTTTTGGGGGGAGGACGGCTGTACATGATATGTACTTACTCTTGTAGTTAGCTTAGCTTTGCTTAAAGATAGCAAATCCACCCCCTTTCTGTTCACAGCTTCACATTCTCTTGGTAATAAATAATACGCCGGCCATTGACTCGGGTCTCGGTTTAGCATTCTTGTTGGCATAATCATTTGTATACAAGCGTTGGTATATAAGTGTACACATAATCTTTAACATGTAATGTGTTTTTTAAATAAATTTGTGAAATACAATGAGTAAAAACAGTTAATTTCTTATAAAAATGGTATGAACAATGAGATAATGGATGTGTACGGGTCAAATGTGTTTTATACATAAACCCAATGTGATGAATAAGTGTTTAGAGTCTTAATCATTTGATAATGGACATTCAAATATTCTGCAGTCATTGGTGTTCGAATCTGGGATTTTAAGGAATAAAAAATTATTCTTTTAACCATATAGGTCACTTAGTTCATACAACATATGTATAATTTCATATATTAAAATTTTAGAGATACAAAATTAGATAGTCACTATAAAATATAAAAAAAATACTAATTATATTGAAATTTCAAATTTTCAAGAGGTGTGATCGCACCTCTAATCCGCTCGATCCATCCTAATCTAGAGAAGTCGTCACTGTGAAGCATGCATGTATTTTTATCAATGCAAACTTTCCATAGCAACTTGGGGTTAACATAGGACCATCACACTAATTGTTCAAAGCAAAAGATACACATGGGCATGAGCAAATTGCATAACCTTGGTTTTTGGTTCACACACGTGTTTTTAACCCGTGGAAATGGAATGGATTTCATTTCAGGTTTTGCTTTTTAGTACCCTGAGAAAACCTTGAGCCATCATCTTTGAATATGTCGGGTCAAAGTAATTAGAGACAATCAGACAAATCAAAATGGATGGTTGTCTTAAAGATTTTGTTGTCTTATAAACAGTGGTAGCGCCCGTCTCCATCTTACCGTCAAAGATCAAACAAACTAAACAACTTACCAAAGTTGATTTGTGCCTCTTTTGATACATATATAAGATATGATAAATTATATCTATAATTACTTAATTATTATTTCTTTTAATTTTATCAATCGGACTACTTAATTATTTAAATATTGTCAATCAAATTATTTATCGTTAATATTTACCGGAAGAGAATTGTCCGTCTAGCTCAGTTGGTAGAGCACAAGGCTCTTAACCTTGGGGTCGTGGGATTGAGTCTCATGGTAGACAATTCATAATTTGGAGGTCTCCCACAAAGTTGCTCTCAACCTGGTGTGGGGGCAACCTACTATCCTATCTCCCCTTACCCCATTACATATGGGAAAAATGGTCAACTAATTTTATTTACCTGAAGAGTTGATGTGGCTATTAAAAGATAAGCCGAAAATCTGACTTTCTCCCGGTCTTACTAAGTATATATATGCAGTCTGTAGATTAATTAACAATCATTTTGGTTAAATTATTCACAAACTACTGCTAAATGGCAACGCAGCAATTGATTTGTTCTGAACTTGAGAAACCTAATCTTAATGGGCACTGAAAATTGTCAATTGATTTAAATATCTGTCAAATTAATTTATGAAACTAATACAGTACTAAGGACTCTTTTCTGCCTGACTAAAAAGAATAATGCTGAACTCATCGAGTAATTTCAATAGTAGGAAGAAATGTTATTTTTTTAAGGTCTTGAGTAGTTACGTCTATAGGGTTTGTGTGTTATCAATTAATTAAAAAAGTTTTGAATAGATACTATTTTGTAATTACTCTAGACTCTAAAAGAAAAAGAATGTTCCTACAGCTAGCCTTATTACATTAGACGTTTATTTCAATTTTAACGACAAAATGATCAATCTCTAATGATATTTTAGTTAAGTGAACTATTTATAATCTTTAGAGAAGATAACATATCTATTATCAAACTTATAATTCATTGACCTAAGGTGTAGTTTACCATATTTAATATCTTCCATTTCTATATATATATATTACTTTCTTTCTTTATGTCAAAGAAAAACTATTATTAGGGGAAAATGTCCCTGAAATTCAAAGTAATCTCACCATTACCAATCATCAAGAAACCTTAATTCCATTCATTAGAAGACAAATATGCGATAAATGATAAATTATTAAAATATTCATATTTGATATATAAAAGATATATATATATATAATAGTTAAAATGATAATACATTATAAAAGCTTAAATTTAAATTATTTAATTGTATTTCTAATATTGTATATTTATCTTATTTAAGAGTAATATTTGATATAATCAGGGGTGAATATTCCATCTAATCAAGTTGAGTCAAATGGAAAATGTTTGGAGTTAATTTAGTTTTTTAAGTATGATTTTATTATTTAAATTTTATTTTATTTATTTTTGAGTTGAGTCAAATTGAAAATATTTGTTCAAATTTTTTTTATATATATATTTGTTCAAATTTAAATGTACCTATTTATTATGTTATGTATTGATTGATTCCGGTTTAAACAATTATTTTTAATCTGTAGTGATATAAGAGCATGTGGTACAAATTTAATGAAAAATAAACTTAAAACCAAGAAAAATTAAAGAAACAAGAAAAAAAATGCAAAGTTAAGGGATTAACTTGCAAAAAGATGAATTAAAGTTATATAGGTATTCTACACTGGTCGAGGAACATGCGATTCAAAATTAATAAAAAATTAGTCATAAAACGAAGGAAAATTGAAAAAAAAAATCATAGTTAAATGACTAAATTATTAAAACAATGTCATTTTACTTTTCAATTTTTAGATTATTCAAAATTTATAAATTCAAACTGAAAACCTAAAAATAATTTAAAATTTAGGAAATAATCAAATTAAGTTTTACTTACCCTTACATGCAATATTGATGTATAAATTTTCATGTATAGTTGATAAGTTATAAAGAAATGTTTTACTAATCTAAAAATGAAATTTAATGAACTTAAAAATAAATATTAGTAAATTGATTAGATATGAAAATTGAAATATTAGAATTAAGGGTAAAGTAAATATTTAGTCACCTATTATATTTTGATTTCGTTTTGATCACTCAACTATTATTTTTTTTTCAAAAATCATATCTAAATTTATATTTTAGTTTTGTTTTGGTCACCCGTCGTCAAAAAAATAAAAAAGGTAAACTACTCAAATGACCACTTAACTATGTGATTGATATCGATATGAACATCATTCTTTCAATTTTAGTAATATGACCACATAACTATTTAAGTGGTTTCAATGTAGCCACTTGTCGTTATAAACAGATAGCATAACTGATGTGGCTGTTATTGACTAATGACGAGTCAAAGGTCCACATCAGCTACACCGTTTGTCTTTAATGGGAAGTGACTACATTGAAACTACTTAAATAGTTAATTCATATTAAAAAAATTGAAAGAATGGTGTTCATATCAACATCAACCCCCTAATTAAGTGGTCATTTGAGTAGTTACCCAATAAAAATCCCCACGTCAGCATGTTTGTTTATTTTTAATGTTGAGCGACCAAAACATATAATTATGTATGGTTTTGAAAGAAAAATAATTAGATGACCAAAACAAATCCAAAGTGATAGTTGGGTGACTAAATAAGAAGTTTACCTTAGAATTAATTATAAGGTAAACTACACATTTAGTACCCTAACTATCACTTCTATTATATTTCAGTCATTTAACTATTTTTATTTTAAAATCATGCATAAAGTTTCATTTCGTTTCGATTTTAACTTTCAGCAACAAACATATTGGATAATTCAATACAACCTTCAATTAGAAGTTGTTACTTCAAAAGTTAAACATAAAAATATGAAGTCCTGAATTATTTTACATAACAAGGCAATTAATGATAACATTTCTGGCAATTAGAAAACTGAACTCCATTCATTCACAATGATCCCCAACGATGAGTCCTTTTTCTGATAAGAAAAACTAAAGCTTTCAAACTCATCAGTAAGGCAGTTGAGGCGGTGGCGGTCTAGCGGTTGGAGCCCAAATCACATCTGATCCACTGCCGTCTTGACAACTATACATCGAAACTCCGCAAGATTCTGAACCACCGCCACCATGACCGGTACAATCTCCACCGCCACCAGAAAACTGCGGCGACTGACCTTCACCATCTCTGCCAGACGACAACGAATTCCTTCTTTCTTCTGCCACTCCTGCTAACTGATGATACGAAGGATTGTTGAACGTGGCGGCAACTATAAAAACGGTGTCAGCCGCCACCAACGAGCCAGCCACGAACCCTCCGATGACCTGCCCTTGAGGACCCGCTAAAGAGATAGAGAACGTGTTGGGGACGTTATACGACGTCGTTGGAGGTAGGACCGTGGCCGATAGGGATAAGATGTCGAATATGCCATGGAAAGTTACGATAGCTCCCGGAGTCGACGAAAGTTGACGCAGAGTTATGTTCGAAACGGACCCAGACCCATTAAGCACGCAGATTCCAATGTTTCTCCGACGAGAGAAGTCGCAGATAGCTTCGACGAGGTCATTCCCACCAGGGATTTCGAGAACGTTAGGATTCATGGCGGGGTTGGGTTCCCGAGATACGATGACAGATTGCTTAGCCTTGTTTTTGGAACCCGGAGGACGACCCCTTGGTCTACGGACCACTTCAATAGAAGCTCCATCGGCAGCGCCAGTGCCGCCGCCGTTGCCAGCGCCAGCGGGAGGGTATTTGGAGTCGTCGTGAGAGAGGTGGAAGGGATGAGAGTAGGATTGGTGAAGTTTAGAGAACATGTTATTGGGATTACCTTTCATGGTGTGGGGATGAGATTTCTATCTCCTTTTTTAGAAAAATAAATTTCCTTTGTCTATTTGTATGATTGATGAGATTTGGGATGAGAGTAGAATTGTTAAAGGAAAATTTCACTTGATTCTTTATTCCACAAAACACAACTTTTAAACAGGGTGTGGTGTTATATATTTTAGTTATTTCTTAAGAGAGAAATTCTAATTAAAAGAAAATCGATCTTAAGATATAATAGAAAAAGATAATAAAATTAAAATAAATTGTATAAAAAAAATACGAGTTGTTTGTACATTCTATCAAGTTGGGGTGTACAAATTGGCTAAACTCTCGAGATAACGTTCTCAAACAAATTATTTCACGAGATAATGCTCTCCCAAGATTAATTGCTCAAATAGGGTGAAATCTACAGTGTTGGCCGTAGGTCGCCATGCCTTCCGGGCGACCTACTACGTGGCCAGCCATGTATGTCCCCAAGCATAGGTGGCTCATAGCTCGTCGGGAAGACATGGCAACCTAGTAGATGACATGGTGACCTACGACCAACACTGTAGATTTCACCCTATTTGAGCAATTAATCTTGGGAGAGCATTATCTCGTGAAATAATTTGTTCGATAACGTTATCTCGAGAGTTTAGCCATACAAATTCAACTTGTTTTTGGGAGAACTTGGTTGAGGATGTTAGCAAGTTGAGGATGTTAGCAAGTTGTAGTTGAGTGAGAAGGACTATCATATTGTAACCTTCTCTAATGAAATGCATCTCAATATTCTCTTTTGATCAACAATTTTTTTTTATGTAATCATCTCCACACTTGATGATTGTGTTGTAATATTGGATGATAGTTATCTTTCTTATTAATTAATGATCATCAAGTCGAGTCTCAAAGAATCTTTAGGTGTTTTTTGTATTGCCTCCCAAAGTTCCTTAGTTGATTTGTAGACGTTAAAAAATAGTTTTGTCATTTTTGATATAACAACATGAAATTTCAAAAAAAAAATTGAAGACACGAATCGAATGTATAACAAAATGAGTTCCTAAACTAAAAATTAGTAAATTTTTTAATTTCAAAATATTGGGAAAATTAATTTTTTTTAGTAAATAAGTGTTTAAACAAAATTTTCTATGTTAATTCAAGCTCAAATTGGCCATTTTTTTTCACAGTTTACAACTTTGTCCAAATAATTGTTTTGATTATTGAACTTTTAAAAAATTAAAAAAAATCATTAAATTTATCAAATTATTACAAAATAATAATTAAATTTTATCAAATTATTTCAAAATCATCATAAATTTCAATTTCTATCTAATTGTTACAAAATAATAATTAAAATTTTCAAACTCTTACACTTATTATAACATCCAAAATGATCATTTTATGAAAATTTGAACGATTGTTTTGGTCGTTAAATTATGTTAAAATTATTGTTTTGGCCATTAAACTTATAAAAATTATAAAATGATCATTAAAATTTATCAAATTATTACAAAGTAATAAATTTTATCTAAATGTTACAAAATATTCATTAACTTTGTCGAATTCTTACACTTATAATAACCTTGCAGTGACCATTTTGAAATCGTTTAATAAATTTAATGATTATTTTATAACTTTTGAAAGTTCAAGGACCAAAAAAATCATTTAAACACAATTCAGTGGTCTCTGGTATGCGTTACCCATTTATTTTCGGGACTACTAGTATTATTACATTGGGAACAAGTGCAATACTTCTCAAACCTTTGAAGGGTGGATCATGAGATTTTGGAAGTATTTGAAAGGAATGCACCGGATAGAGGAAGATCTCATTTTGACCCTTTTAACTAGCAAGTGCAACACTTCTAAAATTATTTATTTTTGTATTTAACGTGACACTTTAACTTTAAAAAGAAATTCATTTTAACCCGCTAATTAATATTTTATGTTATTGATGCAATTTTATTAATATTTTCGGGTCAAGTAAATTATGTGATCTAATGAATATATGGATGAAAGTTTCAAGCTTTGGGAAGCTTATCATGTTCTTAAATTAGGGATTTCAATGATGGAAACTTATTACTCTTCTGGTTTCAACATCATTTCTTCTCTTGATCGTAAATATTTTAATCTCATTTTTCCAGACAGATAACTACTTGAAATTCTTAAAGCTCATCCCCTTTTTGTTTATAATCTCATTGAAGTTTATATAGTATGGAAACATGTGATCAGGGCAACTTTGATGGAAAACAAGGCGTTCATGGAAACGAGAATCCAACCACTTTCGTTGAAGTTTGACGAGCAAGTTTCGATGGAATCGAAGCTGAATGGGTTTGATGGTCTCATAGGAGCTCTGTACACAATGAGGAATGTGAGCTCATTGCTTTTAATGATCTTGCTTTATGGGATGGTCCATTGTTGGCAAGAGTCAAGCTTTTTAAGAAGGGGGAGCGTAGGGCGATTCTTTTTAAGATCGAATTTCACGATATCGATGACGTGGTTGCAAAAAAGGGAGGCGGAAGAGATAAATTCATGGTTTTCAGAATCGGATCGGTTAGCGAACCGATCGTGTTACTGGTTCACTGATCCAATCGGTCTGATCGGTCGGAAGAATCGGACGACGTCATAATTATTTAAAAAATTAAATAAAAAACCAAAAATATTTAATAAAAAATATTTTTTTTATATCATAAGTCATATTTAAAGCAAATCATAACATATATAAGTTAAAAACCATAAAATCAAGTGAAACAAAATGATTCAAATTAACTACAACATAATATTTAAGGTAAAACATATTAAATAATAAATATAATTATATAACTATAATTAAAAAATAAATTTGAGGTTAAAAAAATCATAACAAAATGATATTGTTTAGTTTATTTTTTTTAAAACAATCTCACATGACTAAGAAACATAGAAGAACATCCCAAAAGTCTAAAGAGTAAAAATATGAGAACAAAACAATCTCACTTTGCTAAGAAACATAAAAGCGCATCACAACTAACTTCTATAAATAATAGAGGTAATTTGACATTCAAAATTATGGAGCCTTTTGGTGAACATTGAGTGAACTATTCTTTCACTTCAATCAAGCTCGAATTTTAGGCTTCAATCGAGCTTCTATTTTTTTTTGAGTTCAAGCCTTTTTGAGTTCAAGTTTCAATATTATATTTCGAGTTTGAGTTGAACTTGATAATTTTTAGCTTGTGAGTTTGAGTTGAGTTGAACTTACTTTTAAAGTTTTCAAGTTCGAGTCGAGCTCAGCAATACTCGAGTTCGACTTGGCTCGTTTAACAAACGACGTTCTTTGGTTTATTTAAAAAAAAACAACAAAAAACAAAAATCCCGGTTTTCAGCCGGTCCGTATTGAACGGTTCAGCGGTTTTGACCGGTTCACTAACAGCGGTTCAACCGATTTAAATTGAACCGGACTAAACAACGATTTCCGGTTGAACCGATCGGTCTGGTCCGGTCCGATTTTCAAAACAGAGGATAAACCCATTTTTAAATTAGTTATTTCCAACTCTGCCATTAAAAATCAAATCAGCACTGACTCAGCTTCAAACGGATAGATGTGACTTGTTTGACGTGCCACATCAACATAATTAACAAAATCGTCGGTTAATGACAAAAAAACGTTCATAAAAAATTATATTAACTTATTGAATTAAAAATTACATTAAATACAAAAGTAATTTGAAGATCACATTAATATTTTTAAAAATTCAATTAAAGTTTTATTTATATAATTATCCAATTCAAAATTATGCATAATAGTACATATTTTACGATTATATATATATATATTCAATATTCATCCTTAATTTATAAATCTCATTTTACTTTTTATAATTTTTAGTACACCTTTTTAGGTAGTTTTACTTTTACCTATAAATCAAAGTATATTGCCGTGTATCTTTGTATATAATATTACTAAAATCTATATTAACTGAATTAAATTTAATTAGCCTTAATTGAAAATTTTATTTTAATAAAGATCAAAACAAATGAAAAGAAAGTAAAACAGGTCATCATGTCGTAGTTTTTCAATTTTTGTCCTCCGAGTCGCATGTTTAATGGATTTCACTAACGAAGTTGGCCCAGTTAGGGCTCAGTTAATTTGCCCAACACACAATAAACCGACACACGATGTCGTATCTAAAACGTCGACGTTGTACTTAGGTTTAGTTAGTCAAGTCGTTTTATACATGTTATCATTCGTTAGGGTGAATCAACAGCTTCATTAATTAATTTGAACCCATAAGCTAAAGGAGCAAGTCTCGAATTAAACTATCCAAATATCAGTCTCCTTCCTTCCTTTCACCTTCTTCTTTGTTCCCTTTACTATTTCTTTTTTTATTTGCTAATTCTCTCTCTTTTAATTTCTCACTGAACTCCATTGAAACTAGCTCAAGAAGACCATCGGAACTCAGATCTTGCATCATAAACCCTAGAATTCAACACACAATTATAGCCGTTTGATCTGATCGGGGTATTTTTCTTTTTCTTTTTAAAAAAAATTATGCAACCAACGACTGCTTTTATATCTATCGTCTCTAATTTCATTTTGCTTTAGTGATCGGCAAAATCCATTGAATTTCTCTTCAATTTTCTCTTCCTTTTGAAGATTCATAATATTCAATAGCGTGCCATTGAATGTTTGATATTTTGAAGGATTTTCGTGGAAATTTAATAAGTACGGTTGGCGTTTGTTAATTAAAATACTTCACTCTTTCTTTTTTATTTTTTGGCTTAGGATTTTTCTGTAAAAGAAGAGGAAAGTAGATTTAGAACTTAGGTGATAGGTATTGAAAAAGCGTGAATTACAAAAATTATCTGTTGCGAGTTATTTGGTAAACTGAATTTATAACCGCCTAGGTTACTATATTGAAGCATTTGAGTGTGGGTTGATATGTACAGCTGGATTGATCTTCGGCTAAAAGTGATGGTCTGGAATGGCAATCTGTTTTATTGATTGTTGGATTGTGAAGCTGTAGTTACTGCAAATCTTTGCGGCCAACATGAATATTGTGAAAGGTGTGGCCGACCTTATTCGTCGTACATCTAGTGGCCAAACTGGGGATTCAGGGGCACAAGGGGAGAGGTTGTCTCCTCCTACTCCAAGGATTCGCTTCAGGTACTAGTGCTTGATACTTTTTTTCCTTTTTTCTTTTTTAAATTTACAAATTCTCATTTTATGTGGCATACGACCGAGTGTTTGAGTGAGAAAAATTTGGACATGCTCTAGCACTTTAGTTTAGACTTACTGTTTAACAAGTTTGATTAGTTACTTATTAGATTTTGTTGGTGCTCCTTAACCTCCTTTTATTCAAGTTGAACTTTATTAGGTTTTGTTGTTGTTGGTGTTCTATTTTTATTTTTTATTCTTACTCTTTTGGTATTGCCTTCCAGTGAAGTAGATGATGAGGCAGTTTTGAGTTCATTGTGGGAGAGATATGAGAACACTGTTGATAAGGTATGCCCTTATGTCTGAAAGTTTTCAAAATTCTATTTATTTATTGTAGTTTCAGTAAATCTTTATAGAATTTATTTACCCATTTGTATCAGTTCAGATGTGTCATGCATTTTCTTTTCTAGATTTAATCCAAGAGAAAAAATGTTGTGGTAGCAACTTAGAAGGACGTGATAATAATCTAGACTGAAATTCAGCCACATTTTAAAGTAAGTGTGTTCATCCTGCTAAATAATTTATAAGGTCTAGAGAAGAAACTTTTCTAGACAATGAGATATAATCTAAACTACGATTTGGCTAACTTTAAAGGATGTGCTTTTATTCTTCTAAATAAGTTAGACAAGAAACCTGTCTTGAGTCATTGAGCATTGGAAGCTTGTTTGCAATCATGTAGTATGCTTAACTACTCTCAATTTTTAGGGGATTTTCAATGTTGCTGAACAAGAAAATTTCACTATGCTGTTTTACGTGTTTTCTCACTTTAGGCTATGGCAATTTTTTTATCAATTCATTATTTTTCCCTTCTTAAATTCAGATCTTTCTAAGTAAGTTTTTTTTTATCAAAATAGTTTCCTTCGGTTAAAAATTTAATGTTAAAGGATTAATTTTCATCTTTTAGGTTCTTTTTTGTTGATGGGTATTGTTGCTAATGGATTTATGTCCCTGATTTGCTTGATTTTAGGTGGAAAAGAAAAGGTTGTTTCATGTTTTCCTAAAGCAGTTTCTGACAGTATTCAAGAACTGGGAGCCTGTTAATGGTGGCCAGCTGCCAGAAGCTGCTTCAACTACTGTTCCACTTTCCGGGTATTCCACAGGAGTTAATGATGTTGTTTTTGGCTGCTCTGCTGGGCATCCCGCTGAAATCATTTTGACTTTGATTGAAGAGATTGGGAAATTAACCACTGTGGTCTCCGATTGTAAGTTGATTTATATCGTCTGTTGGAGTTTCTTTCATTTGGGCAAACTCTGTCTTTTGTTGATAGGAAGAACTTTTAGCTTTTAAGACAATATTAGGAAAAAACACAGAAATTGGAAAATCCAAAAATAAATCGAAAAAAGTGGATTCCCGTTATTCTCAAATATTTGTCCATTATGCAAAATGATAAAAAAATTTAACTAGATTTTAAAAAAAATTAAAAAGTTCCATATGCAACTAAAATTTGCTATGTATTAGTTCAACTTTAAATCTTTCTTCATGGTTACTTTTATTGGATGGATCTCTTGTAATTGATAAAACTCTTCTCTATGGTACTCGGCGTTACTGTCACGTTCTCTATTGAATCCTGAAAAGCATTTTGTAAATTGTTTGTAAAGTTAAATGAATCAGGGGGCATTATATTTTGGAAATGATTATAAGTAGAGATTGTTTATATGCTGTCTTTTTTTTTTGGATAGGAATTGAAGGCCTCATTAAAAACCCCCTTCATGATTAAGGAACTCAGATTGAATTCCTTAATTAGAGGAAGGAGGAAAAAAGTGCCTTATACTTTATTAATAAAAGATACATAAGATTTACAACATCAAGATAAAACCCTTACAAACAAACCTACAAACCCAAAATAAAATACCCCAAAAACAAAGTAAAATTAACCAATACCAGACTTGGCCAACCCATCAGCCTCTATATTGGTTGTCCTAGCCACCCATCTAATAACTCCCTCCACTTCTTTAAGTTTAACTGCTATATGCTTGACAATGGAGGCATAAAAAACAGGACACATAGTTCCATTCTTGACCCATTCCACTACCATTTTACAATCTGATTCTATAATCAACCGACCCTTAATACTTCCTCTCACTGAATCAAAGAAATATAATCCCTCATTAACAGCCTTTAAATCCATCAAAATAGGTTGACCCGGACTAGTAGCCTTCTTAAAAGAACCTAAAAGTAGACCTTCTTCATCTCTTAGAATACCCGCAATTCCACTGTTCTTCCAATCAGAACTGGTAGCTGCATCCACATTAATTTTGACAAAGCCCTTAGGAGGGGGGACCAAGGGATGGTAGAGACAATCGAGTTGTTGAGAGAGAAACATGTATCCCCAAGGGAAGGGTAATTTACAACTTGAATCCAAAGAAATGACGGAATCAACAAACTTAGCTAAGAACCAAGATGCAAGCCTAACTCTTGCTAAGAAAAATAAGTTAGTGTGATCTAACTTCCCTCTTTCGAAAACGATATCATTTCTAACTTTCCAAACAGTCCAAATAACAACAGTAGGAATAAAGTTCCAAATAGCAGAGCTGGAATTTAGTTCTTCCCAAGCTAGAAGGAAGTTATGCGCATTACCATGAAAGACCGAACTAATACTCCAATACTGCAAAAATTTATTCCACAGAGACCACAAGACAGAACAAGAGAAAAATAAATGAGAAGAGGATTTATCAACCAAATTACATAGAGGACAAGAGAGATCTACAATATCCGTAACCCCTCTTTTAACCAGTTCAGTCCTCACTGGTAGTTTTTGAAGAACCACCTGCCACATAAAAACCTCAATTCTTGGTGGCACCAATCCTTTCCACAAAATTTTCTTCCAAAAAGAATTCGCTTGTGAAGTCGGGGAACAAATCTTCACACATGGATTCACAGAATAGACACCTGTCCCGTTCCCTTTCTAGATCAGAGCATCGCTGGTCTTTTTAGACAAACAAAAATTAGAAATGATTGTCATCATATTAGTCCACTGTTCAAATTCCCAGTCTGCCAAACTCCTCCTCAATTGAATATTCCAAATCCATCCTAAAGAACTAAACTCGCCGAAATCAAGCAATTTACCACTCTGATTTGAAGAGATAGCAAATAGCCTTGGAAAAGAGACCTTAAGAGGGCAGTCCATTGCCCATTCGTCCTGCCAAAAAACGAATAAACTGTCCACTACCAACTTGAATTCTGCACATACTTCGAAACTTTGAGCCAAAAGAGTCTTCTCTGAAATGAGTATTAACCACTGAGCTCCAAATCCAAGAAGATAGAGCTGGTATCTTGCCGTTGAACCATAATGAGTAAGGATCCAGATTGTATTTAGAACATATCAACCTCCTCCAAACAACATTCCTTTCATTAGCAAACCTCCAAGACCATTTCCCCAGAAGAGCTCTGTTCATATTTATAATATTCAACACTCCCAAACCTCCCTCCTCCTTAGATTTGCACACATTAGACCAACTAACCCAATGAATCTTGTTTCTATCCATTCCACCCCATAGGAATTTAGACATTATGTAATTGAGTTTGGAATTAACCGAGGAGGGAATTTTAAAAAGAGACAAGTAGTAAGTTGGAAGTGAACAAAAGAACCGATTTAATTAAGACTAACCTCCCTACCAATGAAAGAGTGGTAGCTTTCCAACCTGCAAGCTTCTTGTTAAAATTTAAAACCACCAGATCCTAAAGAGAGGAAGATTTCCTAGTTGCACCGAAAGGCAAGCCTAGATATTCAGAAGGAAAATTTCCAACTGCACAACCAATAGACGAGGCCCACTCCTCTGCAGCCGTATTAACACCAAATAACATGCTTTTCTTTTTTATAAAAAAAAAACATGCTTTTCTTCAAATTCAATTGAAGACCAGATATGAGTTCAAACACTCTTAGGATCCTCTTAACATTTAAAATATGTTTCTTCGAAACCCCACAGAAAATAATTAGGTCATCTGCAAATTGCAGATGAGATAAATTAATAGCCGTCTCATTCCTTCCAATTTGCAGTCCATAAAACAATCCCTCAGAGACTGCCTTTAAAAGCAGTAAGTTTAGAAGTTCCCCAACTAAGTTGAAAAGCATAGGAGACAGAGAACAACCCTGACGAAGACCCCTTGCCATAGGAAATTCCTGAGACCAAAACTGAAATTGAGGCTGTTGTTACACAGTGTCTGATCCAACTCCTCCATTTGATGCCAAATCCCATTTTCTCCATAACTGTAAAAAGAATAGACCAATCCACATTATCATAGGCCTTTCTAAAGTCCACCTTAAACACACAACCTTTAAGTCCTTTTTTCCTCCAAAAGTCGACTCTCTCATTAGCTATAAGAGAGCAATCCAGTATTTGACGACCTGGAATGAATGCAAACTGCGTAGGACTTATCAAATCAGTAATACAATTCCTTAATCTCCTCGATAGACATTTTGAAAGGATTTTGTACAACCCTCCTACAAGGCTTATAGGTCTAAAATAATCTAATCCATCAATATTAGACACCTTGGGAATAAGAGTAATGAAAGTATGATTTACTCCATGTTCCCAATCTTTCCCCATATAAAAATTATGAAAGAATTTCAGAATATCGACCTTTAGAACAGACCAAAATCTCTTAAAAAGGCCCATATTTAATCCATCCGGTTCGGGAGCTTTGTTGCTATCACACGATTGTAAAGTTTCCCAAATTTCTTCCTCCGTAAATTCTTTTTCCAAAAACACACTTTGCTCCACTGAAATTCTGGAAAAATTCAGCTTCAAATCTTCAACTTCCAAGGTAGACCTAGTGTTATAAATTCCAAAAAAATGGTCATTGACAGAAGCTTTGATGATAGCCGGATCTTGAGTAATCTCACCATTGACATTTAGAACATTCAATAAATTCCTCTTCCTCCTGACTGAAGCACATGCGTGAAAAAATCTTGTATTACGATCCCCTGCTTCCACCCATTTTGATCTCGATTTTTGAAACCATATATGTTCTTCAATTTTATAAAGCTTCCATAATTCTGTTCTCATAGCCCTCAATTTTGCTGTTTTTTCTCTACCATTAGAGTCTTGCATTTGTTGGAAATTTTCCTCTGCCCAGTGAATATTCCTTTATAATTCTGCAATTTCTACAGCTGGATATTGGTTTCTATTCCCCGCCCATTCCTTGATCGCCAATTTCGTTGATTTCAGGATAGATAGAATTCCAGCTATGTTGTGTTTACTCTTGCAGTTTTGAACAGCTGAACCAACTAAGTTCCGAAAACCTTCTTCAGCCATCAAATAATTAAAAAGCCTGAATGGTTTTTTGCCCCAACTAACTCCACCATTCTCAAGAAAAATGGCATTGTGATCTGATACAGACTTAGGTAACAAATACTGTTTAGTTTCAGGAAATGCTTCTAAGAAATGGACATCAACTAGGAACCTATCCAGTCTAACAAAGATCTTTCAAGCGTTACCTACTCCCATGTAACGGTAAATCAATTAAACTTGTCTGCTGGATAAAATGACTGAAAATTCTTATTGAATTTCTATTTTGGGCTCTTCCAATCTTCTCTTCTTCTGAAAGGTACACATTAAAATCACCACCCACACAGAGGAATACTCTGTCCACAAATAAAGCATCTAACTCTTCAAAAAAGCAAGCTTTTTCTTCTTCAATAGTTGGCCCATAAACATTAATAAAACCACACCTAAATTATGAAGTTCGAAATTTCCCAAAAGTAGCAACGAACCTTCTGTTTATAACATAATTTTCCACTTCAAACATACACTCACCCCAACAACTCAATAAACCTCCAGAAGAACCCACTGCTAGAGATTCTGTGAACCCTTGCAGGGTATTCAAACCACTCCTTAAAAAATTTCTCTGAATCTTCTCCATTTTCGTTTCTTGAAGCAAAAGTAAAATAGGGCGTTTCTTTAAAACTAAATTTTGAACAGATCTTTGTTTTTCCTTTCTTCCCAATCCCCTAAAGTTCCATGAAATAATGGCTAATTGGTTATTTATCAAAAAAATAAGTACCAGAACTGCCAAGAAAACAGAAGCTCAGACCAGCCTCGAATCTTCCTCCAACTTTATAATTTTTTCCAAAAAAGTTGACTTCCCTTCCTTGAAAGACACCCCTAATAGCTTACTAATTTCCCAAGTAGCTAAAGCTTCCTCCAAGAGAACCGAAAAAGCTGAAGAAGAAACTGTTGTAGTGCTAACTTGATCCAATGCCTCCCTTATCAACAATCTTTTGGCTCTTCTAATAAATGTCTTGGAATTGAAATCAGTCATCTCCTTCTGAAAACCACCCTTCACACATATTAACCAAACTACTGTCAGCAATTTGCCTCTCCAAAGTAGACTCCACACAACCATCCATATTAACTTCTGCAACTACACTGACTGGCAGAATTGAATTTAGCTCGAAATCCTTCCCCTTTAGCTTTTCTAGAGCTTCCTCTTCTCCAGGAAATGGCCAATGTCTTCTCTCCCTTGATCTTTTATACACCCTTTTATAACTAGCAGTTTTTCTCCTTTCCAACGGCTCACTCTTTGTAGATAATGATGAATTAGATTGATAAAGCGATCTTCCCCTAGAAATCATTTTTCTAGAATGTGCATTAGAGTCAAACCTCTTAAAATCTGCTGTTAACTCTACTCCCCCACTGTGCTGCATCGAACTGGAATGAGACATACCTCCATTATTAGCTTCCTCTATGTTGGCTGATTGAACTATAAATTGGTTCTGGTCCATTTTCCCAAAACTATCCAACTTAATAACTGGCCCAACTGGAATTATTTTTAAATCTGTAGAACCAGGCTGCCCATTTTCTGCTGACTGGGTTACAGACCCATCAGTCGAAAAATTTGAAAATCTGCATCCCAAACCGACATATTCAACCAAGTTGTTTCTCCCAAGATCTTGACAGTCTGACACCTCACAATTAATGCTTTTCCCTTCTCTGTTAAGCATTGAGATATGAATTTCCCCACCTACCCCAACAATACCCGTGCAAGCTCCTTGGTCAAACCATGTGTCTACCTTTTGTCTGCTGTGTTCTTCTGAATGTTCAGCACTTTCCATGCTTTCTGACACACTCCTGTCATCTTCTTCTCCAGCAATCTTCTCACCAATTTGAATTTCATCGGAACCTCCCACCAGCAACTTGCTAGAAAAAACTGAGTTATACTCAAGCACCGAACCCCGCCTTATCTTAACTGTATAAGATCTTCCATAAGCTCCAAGTGTTATCACCTCAAGGACATCATAAGGGCTCGCCACCCTGATCAGAATCTTCACCTTCGAGAGGTCTTCTCTATTTTTTGTATCTTCATGGATGTCTTCCACCATTCCTCACCTCCTTGCTAATCGTTCCAGGAAGGAGTTATGCCAACATAATAATGGAACCCTAAATAGCTCTATGAGGCAAAAGGCCATTGGAATACCATCATCATTCAATAAAGGTGCCAACCTATCGAACCAGGAAAATAATTCATCTTTTTTCATCAACCATGCATCCATCATTTCTTCATTCGACTTAAAAGTTACAACACATGAATTCCAAACATAACCCCATCTGGTAATCTGGACTTCAAAGCCTTCATTAACTTGAGACTTCTAGACTAATTCTAGCTCAAAAGAATGTTTAATGATCCCCGTTAATGACCTCTTCACCCAATTGGAGCTCTCTGAAGGAATATGCATTTCCCAAATGTTTTTTATTCCTTTCCTCCTGTTGAAACCTTCATTTGCCATTTCCCTTTGGTCTGATACATAACTCTTCAATCTATTAGATAGTAAGGCATCCTTATAAGATCTTTCATCCCTTAAACTCCTGTTAATAACAACTTTCTCTTTTGACCTTGAAGTATCAACTGAGATTAGCTTTGAAGTCATCGCCAATGAACTATTCTGCCCTACTGACCTCTTCCGAGCTTCCTTGTACCTTGCATCACCAACTGTAATTCTCCAACCATCAATCAGTGAGCCATTCATCTTGTTTATAGCCCTTTTTAGACTTTCCTCATTACCAAAATGAACAAAGGCGAATGTGGAGAATTTGTATTTCGGATTCCTTGTTTCTCTTGGAATGAACACTCTTACTACCGGACCCTGAGTTGAGAACAATTCCCTTAACTCTAGTCGAGACACTCTTCTGCTTAGATTATCAACGAACGCCGACCATACTTTCTCGGAAAAAAACCTTCCTTTCAATTTTTCTCTCTCTACGTCTCTATCTCTCACTCATCCTTCTTCCTATTGTTTATATGCTGTCACTTAAATCTTCCTATTTTTTAGGATTCTCTCTTCATATGCATACTTTGATTGAATGGTTAACATAAATTCTCTAATGTGCACTTTTATGTCCTTTATTTCTTTTGTTTTGAATCCAGTAAATACTGGCGTGGGACGCACAGGAAACGATTTTCCAGCAGTTTCCATAAGCTTCACTTCTGAAGGATTACCTGTTTTGGATGCTTTAAAAATTATTACCCGTTCGTTGCATAATTGCAGAGTTTTTGGTTACTATGGTGGAATTCAGAAACTTACGGCATTAATGAAAGGTATGGTTAATATTATCGATGTCTATATTGGTATTTAAGTAGCTGGCACTTATGTTCTGGTTTTTAGATATGTAATTCGAGTTGTACATGATTGGAGGTGGGGTGCTTTTTGTAGTATCGGAGTTTCTGGTTATGTACCGTAGTTTATAGAACATTGTTCATCAGGTCTTGGATTGTTTTGAAGCTTAAATGCAATTAGTTAAGACTTCTTGTTTCAATTAGGTAACTACAGAAATTATGGATTTTTTAACTTGATTCTACTTTTAAATTGGTTTCCCCATTAATTCTGATATGAACTTATCATTAAGTCTTTTTTCTTTTTTCTCAGGGGCAGTTATCCAACTCAAAACAGTGGTTGGTGCACTTTCGGCTGATGAAAGTTTTTCCAATTTAATAGAAGAGAAAACGGGGTTCTTACAGAGAGTACTTGTATATGTGGTTTCAATCATATATTGCTTTATTGATTTGAATTCAAATGTATATGAGAAAGCTCAGATGTATAGTATTACTGAAGATTTTTCTGAAATTGGTTCTTCATCTTCAAGTGACCCCTCTAATAGTTTAAAAGATTCTCTTTCTGAAAGAAGGCTACAATGGCATCGGAAGGCTGTTGTCTCAGTAATGGAAGCTGGTGGCCTTAACTGGTTAGTAGGTAAGGTAGGGCATTTTTGTTTATCATCATACATAAGCTGCTAATATGTGAGCCATTTTCTATTTGGACAATATGCCTTTTCTTTTGTTTGATAAATGAAAAGCAGCGGAAAGCAAAGATAAACCTGTAATTGTTGGTTTGTGAATTTGATCAATTAGTACACTTCTTTATCATTGGATTTTTCCTGCGTAATGCTTATGTGTTCAATAATACTTCTTTGGTGGTGCTTTTTGATTTGATATGTCTCCCCCTCTCTTATTAGCCATTATGTCTTTGCATTTTATTTTCTGTTCACGGAAGCTTCTTGTTTTTCAGAGTTGTTGCGTGTTATCAGGAGGTTGAGTATCAAAGAACAGTGGACAGATATGTCACTTCAGTTCTTGACTTTGAGAACCCTTTCTTTTGCATTATGTGATAATCCACGTGGTCAAAATCACTTCAAAAGTATTGGGGGGCTTGAAGTTCTGTTGGATGGACTTTCACTTCCATCAATTAATATGCTACTCTTAAAGAGTGCTTCACATGATAGGCAAAGGTACTTTTCCTGAATTGTTTTGCAAATCCGCTTGTCTTCAAACTATATTAAACACCTATGTATGAACTTTTATATTGAGAGTGCTAGTTGAAAAACATTTGGTACCATTTTGTTTGATTATTTAAGAGAAGTACAACATTTTCTGGTATGCATTTGATCACCTTTTAAGTTCCCCTCAGCTTCATTTCCACACTACCGTTTTTCTTTCAGTTGACTACATAACTGTTTAGTGGTGTTATCCCACTGCTGTTATGTATTGAGTTTCTTGTGGCCTTGCCTTAAAGTTGGGCCGTTACACCTGTAACCAATTGGTTTTAGGTTGGATGATTCACAATAACTATGCTAGGCATGTATGGATAATTTTCTGGCAATTTCGGTCCTTTCTTGCCCCCCACCTCCAATGTTCAAAACTTATCGAACCTTTTACTTGAATTATATGGATACATGCCATGTGAAGTTGTGTGCATATTATATTATTAGGCTACTTCCTAGAAGATTTTTCTTAATACTTGCTAAATGCGGTGGCTAGAGCCAAACTAATGGCTAAGATATCCTATCCGTAGGCTCTTTGCTTTGAGTATTGGTTTCGATTTTGTGTTGGCATTTTCTTCAAGTTATTCAAGAACCTCTATGAACAGTGAGAAAGAACTGTGATTAGAATAATTGGTTTGTTTGATTGATTCTTTTATTTGAGAAGTACTCTGTTTGGTATCTTATCTCATATGATCCAAGCGGGTTTGGGATTGCTAAACTTGGGTTTGCACCTGGTGATAGTCTGGTAGGTTGTGTTAATTTCTGGTTGGCTTACCTTGGAATCTTTTAGCTTCTCTGGGAAGCCAATGCACAATGATCTTACAACTTTTTCCCGTCGATTCATTCCAGCTCGGAAGTCTTGAAGTTTAATTTTCAGTTTTGTCGTCTTTGACTGTGTGAAAAAATTAATTTGTCTATGAATATAGAGGTGAATTTTCTTCATTATTCTACTCTTTCTTGATCTTATAATCTGGTGGTTAACTTTTATGCAGAGAGCAATATACCTTGCTGAAAATTTTTGAGCTCCATATTCTTTCTTTGGAAGTTCTTCGGGAAGCTGTGTATCCTATACATGACTTGTATTCAAATATTGCAGTTAGTTTTTTGCAATTCAATGCTTTAATTGTTTCTTTGTGAAACTGAAATTTGTAAACCTTGTGTGCTATTGGAATTATATCAATCTCCTGAAGTGCATTTCTGCTAGCATGCTGTACTTGTTACTTGCATCATCTTCCTTTTTGAGATGAAGGATGCTTTTAGATTGAGCATGTTGTTTGAAATTTCAAGATGATTTTGTTTAGTGCTGCAATAAAAATGTACTTTGTTCTGTAAAGTGGATCTTATTACATCAAATCAAATAAGCGAGAATAGTGGTTTCTGGTCTGAATTTATTTACCAAATTTAACAATTTATGCTGTCAGTATCACTGAACATGTTTTAATGACCTTAACAAGTCATCAGCTTTGGGAATGTGAATAATCTGCAGTTTCTATGTGAGAATGGAAGAGTTCATAAATTTGCAAATAGCTTTTGTTCACCTGCTTTTTTGTTTCAAGAGTACAAACAGCAGATGAAGGATTCAGTTCTGCAGGAAGGTAGTGGAACATCCATTTTTGACTTAAAAAATGACAATGCTCAAAGTTTTTTGGTGGATTCTTCTGCTCCTTTACCTAATAAAGTCCCTTATCATCGGATCTGGAATGATTGCGTTGTCAAGTTGAGCAGAGTACTTTGCTCATTCCTTCTTGCTCCAGAAGATGTTAACTTCCATCATGGCCAAGCAACTCCTGGTCGGATTCCTGCGTCAATTTCATCAGTTTATATTGAACTTTCTATTAAATGGGTCATGAGGGTTCTTCTTCAAGTTTTCCCATGGATTAGGGCTTGTTTCAATCAAACAGAATTTCCGAACCATTTATGGTAAGGTTATTTTATTCCTTTCTGTCTTTTATTATATTTTCAGCGTCTCAAAAGCAATGTGCATTTTCCTGCAAGTTATGATTCTGTTTCCCTTTAGAATTTCGTCCTCTTCTGTGCATTTGTAACGTATTTCCCCCTTTCCCTGTTATTTTGTTTCCTGTAGGGTCTTTGTTAGTACCTTGCAGCATTCTGTTCTCAATGCATTCAGGAAGGTTCTGATTTCATCAGCTGTGTTGCTTGAGGTGTTTCGCAAGGAGGGAATATGGGACCTTATCTTCTCTGAGAACGTTTTCTATTTTGGATCAGCTGCAGAGGAATTTTCTGAAGAGTTTACTTCATACCCTGAAGGCTCTCCAAAAAAGCTTGAAAAATGTTCTGATGCTAGGAGCAATGCTGGGATTCAGATTATTCAGATAGAAGCAATTTCATTTGTGGAGTTAGCTGCAACTTCTAATGGGAGTGTCCATAACTTGGTATGTTCTCGTCTCGAGGAAGAATTATTCTTGTGAACAGTTTATCGCCATTATGATTTTTTTTATAGGAATAGGATGCCTCATTAAAAACCTCCCTCTTAGTAGTCCTCAACCCTAAGGCAAGAACCAACTAGCGGAAGGAGGAAAAGAGTATATCATTTTATTGAAGATAAAGCAATTACATAAAACTTAAAAACACTCCTTCAAAATACGTAAGACATAAAAACGCTCCTGTAACATCTCCATTATGATTTATGCACGAATACATAATTCTTAACTTTTTAATCTTGTTGCAATAAATTGCTTGGAATGTTGTGATAATTTAGATTTAAGTTTGACATTGACACGAGTGAATATCAAGAGTGAGAACGGGCAAATCAGAGTTGTTTTGGGCATTATCAGAAGTCTTCAGTACTGCTCTTTAACTATTCGTCAATGATTATACATTTGCATTTTTTTTGTGGGTTTCATGTCAGTTGGTATGTCCAATGTGGATACCAAAATGCTGAGATCACAATGGTTGATGTTGCCCAAACAATGATAGTGCTGGGAATTTACCTTAATGCTTTCTGCCAATTAGGAATATTCTATATATATGATGTTCTTCAACTCAGTGTCTTTCCTTTTCTCTTGCGTATGCTGTTAATTTCATTTTCCTATAATTGATTTTAATAAAACTATAAATATTAAGTTGATACCTTTCATATGGTTTTGTATTTTAGTTGAATCATATGATAGCTCTTGATGTTTATGTGGATATACGTTTAATGTTTTAGATATTTGTGCTTGTGGGTGTTATTCTCATGAATGTTCTAGTTCAATGATCCTACCCATAATTTAAAAGGATTTTTTTGTTGTTGAACCTTGTTTTGATTGTAAATGCTTCTATCTTTTTGTGCTTGGGACTTCACTTTTTTACTTTCACCTCATATTGTCACAGCCTGAAGTGTCTGCTTTACTAGAAGCTCTTGAACAATCTGCTTGTAATCCTGAGACTGATACTGTTGTTGCAAAGAGTTTGCTTCGAATATTACAGCTTTCATCCGAGAAATCTATTGCTTCCTTTAAGACACTAAATGCAGTTTCCAGAGTTCTTAAAGTTGCTTGCTTTCTAGCCAATGAATCTAAGAGGTTGGATACGGGCGCTGTGATTGATAATGATTATTTTGAAGGGGTTCTAGCTCATGGCCACCAGATTCTTGATTCTAGTGGAACTTCACAAAGCTGGATTCAGTGCATGGAAACATGCATGGAACTCTTTGTTGAATTTTTCTCGGTAGCAGATGATGCTAGAACTTTGATTTTGCATGATTCTACCTGCATTGATTGTTTGTTTGAATTGTTTTGGGAAGAAAGTTTGAGAAACAAAGTTTTCAGATACATTCTTGATATCATGAAGGTATGTTTTTTTGGCTGTTAGAAAGCTTTTTCTGGTCTTTTCAATTATTAGCTTGTTAAAAAGCAGAATGTTCTTTTTTCCCACATCATTTTAGATTGCATCACTACTTGAAGAAGATCGAAAAGCAGTGTCATATGTATGTTCAAAATACTTAGAAACCTTCACCGTTGTAAAGGAGCGTGAAAAATGCTTTGCTGAGCTGTATATTAAGTTGTTGGGTGGAATGATAGATATACTCCAGACTGATCCAGTGGTATGTTCCATGAACTGCTCATCTTGACTTGCCTTCCTCTCAAGTTGCGTGTCTTTGGCAGCTTGGTCATTGGATTTTATGAAGTATCTTATGCATTTAATGTTTCATCAGCATTACCAGGGTTTATTTCGAGATGGAGAATGCTTTTTGCATGTTGTCTCTTTACTAAATGGCAATCTTGATGAAGAAAACGATGAGAGGTTGGTTTTGGTTGTTTTACAAACTCTTACCTGCCTCCTTGCAAAGAATGATGCTTCAAAGGTAATTTTCATTTCCTTTTTCCTTTGTTTTCACTCTCTTTAGCTTTTCTTTAGTAGTTGAATGCTTTATCTATGCTTATCCTGAATAGTGCAAACAATTAATATTTTTTGGGAAAGAAATTTGCTCCAGTATCATTCGTCTTTATTTGTCTATGCCCTAATACATGAGAACACTAAGGAACTTTGTAGTTGGTGCTGGTATGACTTTTCCGAAAATGTAGTTTAATGTTCAACAAAATGCATGTTTACAGGAACACAGAGTCCGGTTTGCTTTATTGTGGAATTAATGTGTACTAACTCATTGTAATTCTTGAGCTTTTGTAGTGTGTGTAGCCAGGAACTGCTTGGTTGAGCTTGAGATGATAAATGGCAGGACAATAAGTTTTAGAACTAGAGTTAGGTTTTGTTGGATGTCAATATATTATATTTGAGACATCTGGAAGAGGTAGTGGATTGAGTCCAATATTGTATTTTAAAGATTTCTAGTGTTCATGATCAGATCTTTTAATTCACAATTGTTGCTATGGGTCATTTTAGGAAATTATGTTTTGCTTTTAGAGCACACCAATCTAAAATTTGTTGAAATTTCCTATATTCTTGCAGTATTAAGAATTTTAAATTATTCTTTTATTACTCCCATTTCTATATATTAAGTTAAATAATTAATTTTACAGGCAGTATTTAGAGCTCTTGTCGGCAGGGGTTATCAGACATTGCAAAGTTTGTTGTTAGATTTCTGTCAATGGCATCCAAGTGAAGCACTTTTAAATGCACTTCTTGATATGCTTGTTGATGGAAAGTTTGAAATAAGTGGGAGCCCTCTTATAAAGGTGATTTAATCTCCTGAGAAGCCTCTTTGATCCACTGTCACATCCTCTCTGTCTAGTCATGTGTACTGATTCTATGATCTTTTGCCATTTTTTTTCGTTGTGCTTGTTGCTTGTTGTCCCTGAATTGTTCGTTCCTATTTTTGTTCAGAATGAAGATGTGGTTATACTGTATTTGAGTGTTCTTCAGAAGGTTAGTAATTCATTTTCTTTGTTGATTCTACTCTATTTGATGATGATAAATTTTCCCTGAATCAATTATAGCTGATTCTTGCACAATAATCATTTAAATATTGATGTCGTTATTTTCTACTTTTTTGATTGGCCAGAGCAGTGAGTCTTTGAGGCATTATGGTCTCAGTGTGTTTCAGCAGCTGCTTAAGGATTCCCTTTCCAATCGAGCTTCATGTGTTGCAGCAGGAATGCTTAATTTTCTTCTTGATTGGTTTGTCCAAGAAGGTGATGACAGTGTCATTTTGAAAATTGCACAACTGATTCAGGTTATTGGTGGCCATAGCATATCCGGGAAGGATATTCGCAAAATCTTTGCTCTCCTCCGAAGTGAGAGAGTGGGGACTCAACAGCAGTACTGCTCACTATTATTGACCAGTGTTTTGTCAATGCTAAATGAGAAGGGACCGACTGCCTTCTTTGATCTCAATGGGGGATGATTCTGTGAGTCCTTGTGGCGTCTTTGTGAGAATTTCTGAAACAATTTTGTCCTGTACCCATATTCGTTTTAGTTCTTCTGGAACTTGTTGCATTGAATTGTTGTCATATGACCATAATTGAAACCTGGTAATCATGTTGTAATTACTTTTTGTAGGGTATCCTGATTAAAACACCCGTGCAATGGCCTCTCAACAAGGGTTTCTCTTTTTCATGTTGGCTTCGGGTGGAGGATTTCCCCAGGAATGGAACAATGGGCCTCTTCAAATTTCTGTCTGAAAATGGAAGAGGATGCGTGGCAACAGTAGCTGAAGATAAGCTTATTTATAAGGTAAAAAATATGTAATATGTTTGTCTCTAGGAACTTTCTTCCAAAGCAACTCTTATTCCAACAAAAAGTGAATTGCATATTTTATTGACTATTAAATAGAAAAGTAGTGCCTCCTTCCCCCTCCCCCCTCCCCCAAACAGTCACACAAACAGATATATCAAAAACAGCTTGTTTTTGTTTTACTTTTACTGTCTTTGGTGTGCTGCCAATTACATGCACTTATTAATTTTTCTCATGCCCTACACAGTCCATCAATATGAAACAACAATGTCTTCAGATGCATGTTAAATCTAGTCAGGAAGAAATGGCACTTTCTTTGTATTACTCATACCATTGGAAGAGCCTTTTCTGGGGGTAGCCTGTTGAGATGTTATCTTGACGGTGATCTCGTATCCTCTGAAAGATGCAGGTAAAATGCCTCCTTTAATCATTCTGAGTTTGCATTTTACTTATCATTAGTAACATTTCTAGATCAATATTCTCAACACAATTAAGTTCCTACCTGACCTTTTCATTTCGCGTTTCAGTTATGCAAAAGTCAGTGAGTTATTGACTAGCTGCTCTATTGGTACAAAAATTGTCTTGCCTCCAAATGAAGATAATCATGTGGAAACCATTCAGGGTTCGTTTCCTTTTCTTGGGCAGATTGGTCCACTTTATTTGTTTGGGGATGCCATTTCTTCTGAGCAAATCAAGGCTATACATTCCCTTGGACCAAGTTATATGTACTCATTCCTAGATAGTGAAACTACTGCATTTGGTGATAACCGTATGCCTAGTGGTATTCTGGGCACAAAAGATGGCCTCGCATCAAAAATTGTTTTCGGACTCAATGCACAGGTTGTTTTCTCTTATTGAAACATTCACACAAGTAAACACATGCATATCTATAAGAGTTTGTTCTGTTTTTGTTAACTGAATTTAAGGTGTTGATTCTACTTTTCAGGCAAGTAATGGCAAGATGTTGTTTAATGTCTCACCTGTATTGGATTCAGTATCAGATAAGACTCTATTTGAAGCTACTATAATGGTTGGTACACAGTTGTGCTCTAGACGCTTGCTCCAAGAGATAATTTACTGTGTTGGAGGCATATCTGTGTTTTTCCCTCTTATCACTCAGTCTGATAGACACCAAAATCATGAAAGTGGAGTTTTAGAAAGCAGACTGCTCTTTCCAGTTGCCAAAGAACGTCTGACCGCTGAAGTTATAGATCTTATTACTTCTGTCTTAGATGAGAATTTAGCAAATCAGCAACAAATGCATCTTCTTTCTGGATTTTCAGTACTGGGATTCTTATTGCAATCAGTCCCACCTCAGCAACTCAATATTGAAACACTCTCTGCATTGAAGAAATTGTTCAATGTTGTATCATCATCCTTTGGTATGCATGATGGACCACATTGAGTTGTTTCTTTGTTGGAATTATTCATCCTAAATTTTCTTTTTGACTTTTATTGTTATGTTCATACCTGTTTAAAGATATATCTCATTCCTTTAGATGTTTTTGTGTCTCCTCTTTAGGATTGGCAGAGCTGCTAATGAAAGAAGCCATATCTTCCATTTTTTTTGATCCCCATATCTGGCTGTACACAACTTACACAGTGCAGCGTGAGCTGTACATGTTTGTCATTGAACAATTTGACAATAATCCAAAGCTGCTTCTAAGTTTATGCCAGCTTCCACGTGTTATTGACATAATACGACAATGTTATTGGGATAGCGTGAAATCTCGGTTTTCTATTGGAGGTCAACCACTTTTACATCCTATTACTAAACAAGTGATTGGAAAAAGACCTGGTAGAGATGAAATACACAAAATTCGCCTTCTTCTGTTAAGTCTTGGCGAAATGAGCCTCAGGTATGCATTGTCAACTTGTGCGGGCATCTGATGTTGCCAGATGTGAAGTATTGAATCAGCAGTTCCATTTTTTATAGACATACATAGCTGATTATGATATTTTTTTAACGAAACTGTTGCATGTTGTACAGGCAAAACATTGCTTCAACAGATATAAAAGCTCTTGTATCATTCTTTGAAACAAGCCATGATATGACATGCATTGAGGATGTTTTGCACATGGTTATCCGTGCTGTTTCTCATAAACCATTGCTTCTATCCTTCATCGAACAAGTGAATCTATTAGGTGGCTGTCACATTTTTGTCAATCTCCTAAAGAGGTAGGCCTTCTATATTGAAAGAGTTAAATGTGATTCGTGGGAGATAACAATGGCCTCTGTTTCATTGAAGAATGACTTCCAGCGTTCTTATACTAATGGTTTCTTTTGTTGTATATTCCCTTAACCTTAATCCTCATGAAATGTATTTACTTTACAATTATGTTTCTCTTCTAAGGTTGATTTTTCTTAAATAATGTCGGCCTTTTTGGCTATTGTCTCTCTCTCCGAGGAGAAATTTCAAGACTTAAACTGTCTTTTGGGGTTTTTGTGGAGAGAGGGAGTGGTTATGTGATCTATCCTGCTTCTGTGTTTCTTTCGAGTCTTAGAATTTTGCTCCTCTTAGTTTCAAATTTAAAACCACATGCTCTCTTTAATATATGTTTCTTTTTTTTCTGCTATGGTCTGACACAATGCCGTGCACTCGTGTTTTGATAGGAACTTTATAACCATTTTTTATTACTTCAAATGCTAATTTAGTATTTTTTTTACACCATTAATTTTTTTTTGATAGTTTACACCATTAATTTGCTTATAGTTTCATAAATAGATGTGGTTTCCTTCCAGTGAATGTTGAATTGCATTGACTGAAATAGGAAAAAATGATATGTTTTAAATCAGTGGTTAAGACTCAATGTCTCTTTAGTCACCCTATGACTTGTTTTTCATAGGGAACACGAGCCTATCAGATTGCTTAGCTTGCAGTTTCTAGGAAGACTTTTGGTTGGTTTACCATCAGAGAAAAAGGGGCCAAGCTTTTTCAATCTTGCTGTTGGAAGATCAAGATCTTTTTCAGAAAACAACAAGAAAGTCAGCTCCAGGGTGCAACTTCTTTTCTCAGCTATATCTGATAGGTTGTTCAACTTTCCACAAACGGATAGTTTGTGTGCCACCTTGTTTGATGTTCTTCTAGGTGGTGCCAGCCCCAGACAGGTGGTCATCCGATTATGGATTTTCCCTCATTTTTTGTTAACTATTTTCCTGCCATTCTTTATTTTGATCATTTTCCAACATACCCCTCTTGAAAATTTTTGTTTTACAGGTGTTACAGAAAAATAACCTTGTTGACAAGCAGAAGAGCAGAGGGAATAATTCTCACTTTGTCGTTCCTCAGATTTTGCTTTTGATTTTTAAATACCTATCCAGCTGTGGAGATGCATCTGCAAGAATGAAAATAATTAGTGATCTACTTGACCTTCTTGATTCAAATCCTCTGAACATAGAAGCGTTGGTGGTACTGCACTACTGCATACAATTAATATTTGATGTCATATGTATGTTGTGTATGCTTTTAAAAGTGTGATCTAATTGTTCCAAATTTTTCCTTTAGGAATATGGTTGGAATGCTTGGTTAACTGCTTCTGTGAAACTTGACGTGGTTAAAAACTATATGTCTGATTCAAGATATCAAGGTGACTATGATATAAATGAGAAAAATCTTGTGATGACGGTTTTTTCAGTTGTTCTTTGTCACTATATACAATTTACAAAAGGTGGCTGGCAACAATTAGATGAGACTCTGAATTTTCTACTTCTGCACTGTGAGCAAGTATGCTGAACTCCTTATTTTACTTTATTAAACGTATTTACATTAATCTACTCTGTTTTTGTGAATTATTTTTCCATCGATGAATAATTTGCTTTAATTTCTTTTCCTTGGTAGGAGGGGATATCATTCCGATACATGCTTTGTGACATTTATGACAACTTGATTAAAAAAGGCTGGTAGATTTATCTGCTGAGGAGAATATTTTCAGTTCACAGCCTTGTCGGGACAATACATTATATCTTCTGCAACTTGTTGATGAGATGCTTATCTCTGCAGTTGGCAATAAACTTCCGGTACGGACTTACTTGAGAATTTAACTGGATTATTTCACTAGATTTTCTGTGTATGGTTCGAAAAAACTAAGTGGGAGGCAATTGATTCTAATTATGGTTATTTTACTTGAAATTTTGGCCTTCAAACATTTGAGAATTAGAAATGGTTAACATTTCTGGATCCCCTCGTATACAAACATCTTACTGCATTAAAGTATGTCTATGAATTGGCTTGTCTTTTCTACTTATGTAGTTCGTTTTTCTTAACTTAAGGATGATACTAATTTGTTATCTCTGTTTCCTACAGTTTCCGGCTAATAGCTCTGAGTCTTATCTGGATTCTTTGGAGTTTGATAGCAAGAAAGATTATAACACTTTGTTGCATGAGGTCTTGCGGGGAGAATTTGATGATAAAGTATCTGGGTACTGCCAGTCTGATCTTCACTCATTATCTCTGAAACTGATACATTGTGTTATCTGTTTGTCCCTTAATTGTGATGAAATCTATGTGGGTTATTGACAATAACTTTTCCATCTATTGTCAAATCTGTTTGTCTAGTTGATGCGTTGTGTTTTGCTTAATAAAACCTCTTTGGAATTGTTCTTTTATCTTTTCTTTTTCTAGTGATCTAGTCAAAAGAAAATAGTCTTGTTTTGCTTTCCTAGTTCAAGACAATGGAATAGTTTTGTTTTAGAAGGCACGAGTACCAATTTTCAGGTGAAAAAGATTTGCCTCTTTGCTTTCAGCAGGATATATAAGATTCTGCATTGTTATCCTAATATAAATTCCACAATTCACTATAGAATTTTCAGTCTATGGGAATATTGATTGATATGACTAGGAGAATTAGAAGCAAGTATTTACTTTTACACAATTTTAAAAAAGTTTGTATAAGCTTAGAATTTTAAGAAAGTTAGCATGTTGTTCTTTCATGAAACAGAATAAGTAAAAGTTGGATGTTTGTCTTAAAGTACGATGTTCATGACTTCCATGAGTACAGTGCATTGGGATAGTAGTTGCTGCTTATTCCCTTTGTACACCATCCAAAATAGTGTGAGGAATATTGCTCTGTTAGTTTTACTTTGAGATATATTGTACACATCATCGTATGGAGATTTATGAAAATATTCTGTCACTCAATATGATGTCCAGTAGAAAGTAATCTTGTGAATCTTCCATTCTCAGAAATCTGGAAGCGGACAGACACTCAGTGACAAGTGAAGATGACCTACCTGGTGTTAATTGGTGGAACTTATTTGACAATTTATGGGTTGTTATTAGTGAGATGAACGGAGTGGGTCCAAGCAAGAGGGGGCTCAGAAATTCAGCATCTGTTGGTCCTTCTTTAGGCCAAAGAGCTCGTGGCTTGGTAGAATCTCTTAATATTCCTGCTGCAGAAATGGCTGCTGTTGTCTCTGTAGGCATTGGCAATGCATTGAGTGGAAAACCAAATATAAAACCGTTGATAAAGCCATGGCTTTAAGGGGTGAAAGGTGTCCAAGAATTGTCTTTCGGCTTTTAATCCTATATCTCTGCAGATCATCTCTGGAAAGAGCCTTGCACTGTGTTCAACAATTCATCGCACTTTTGCCTTGCTTTTGTGCCACTGATGATGAGCAAAGCAAGAGTCGATTGCAGCTCTTCATCTGGTATGTTAATGTATTTTATCCCCATGTTTTCTTATCTTGTGTGTCATGCAAATCTTTAGTTTTAAGAAAGGATATGGATTAGTGCTCTTTCTATTGCCTTACGCTTGTTCCATGAAATGTGACATAAAATAACATTGGTGCTCAGGTCTCTTCTCATTGTACGATCCCAGTATGGAATGTTAGATAATGGTGCTCGTTTCCATATAATAGCACATGTAATTCAAGAAACTGTAAACTCCGGAAAGTCAATCCTTGCTACTAGCATGGTTGGCAGGGATGACTCATTCGATTCAAGCACCTACTCAAAGGAAACAGGCTCCATTCACAATCTAATTCAGAAGGACCGAGTGGCTTCTGCGGTTTGTTCTGAACTCCAAATTTATCATCTTTTGTTTCATTGAGGGTTGTTGTTTAGCTGTTTTAGTCAGATGGAAATCTCATCTTATATTTGTTTTCTCTACTTATATTTCAAATGGTTGACAATATCCTGAAGTTAGGAAGTTCCATGAATGTTTTGCTATAGAAAAGTTCGATTAGATTTCAAATGGTTGACAATATCCTGTAATTAGGTAGTTCCATGAATCTTTTTTCATACAAAAGTTCCGTTAGATATCAAACGGTTCCCAATCTCTTTTTCCAATTTCTTTTGTTTATATCCTGCATGGCTACTACTAAAGATAAAAACATGGTTTCAATCAATGTTGCTAAGGCACTCGTCTAGCCACTAAGGCACAGGAAAAACAAAAGATTTCACTTTATACCTTCCCTGGAGAGGCTATTTTGATTGGGTGCTCGCCTATAGATGCTTTATTTTGCTTTGAGCCAACTTTTAAGTTTTTTCTCTCTTTCTTGGTGGTGGTGTCAGCTTTTAAGCCTCCCTTTTTTATTTTAAAACTCAAATATCTGCTGATGCTTATTTTATCTTTCAAGTTTCTTCTTTTTTACCTTAAATACCATTATTCCCTTATGTCCACTTTTAACCTTTTTTATTAATTATATATAAATTCTAAAACTCAAAATATCATTATTTTTTTAATTTTGTTAATTATAAATCTACTGGGTACTAGTCATTTATGATATCAAATTTTGTTAAATCATAAAAACTCAAAACTTCAACCTTTCTTAAACGCTCAATCTCTGATGTAAACTTTTTTTTTTTTAAAAATATTCTCTGCCTATTCTACTATTTTTCCTTTTAAATCCTTTTTTTTCCTTTCTATTTTTATGTTTTTACCATAAATTTTCAGTAATTATTTTTAACAATAATTTTAATTTATTTAATGTATTATATTAAAACTTATCTTAACTACTTTTTTATTTATTATTAAGTACTGCATATTTTTCACGCATTATATATATGTAATATATATCTATATATATGTGCCTTATTTTACTCGGGCAGCGCTTTTTTTGCGCCTTGTGCCTCAAGTTATGTAGAGGACTTTGTGACTTGCGTGTGCCTAGCGCCCTTGACAACACTGGTTTCAGTTGATATTTTAATGTTTAACCCCATATGATGGAAAATATGGTTTTAAGTGATATTTTGATTTTTAACCCCTTTGATAGTCCATTAAATCTCGCTTTGATGGAAGAAATAAAATGAGAGATGAGAGATGGCGAATTCTTCTTTGATGTTTACTCTTATGAGCATTTGGTTTTCATAATTGAGAAAACTCTTTTGGCGTGTCTCTAGTGGTCAGTGCAAATAACCTCTTGGAGATATTGTATATGAGCATTGTACGTTTTATTGATGTCATTGAAAACCGCAGGCAATGTAATCCTAACACTGAATCTTATGGCATGTTTTATGTATTATTTTTCAACTGGCTTGCCATATGCTTTTTCTGCTGTCACTTTCCTTCCAGGTTATCCCCCATTCAGTTCTGTAGTTTCTTGATTCAGGTTTTTGATGAGTGTAAGTATGTAACTATGTTGGAATCCGACCGTAGCAGACAGTTGCAGGACCTTCGTGCTAAGATGAGTGAAATTTCCTCTTTAGAAATTCATAACCAGAAGGCATTTGAAGACGAGATACAAAGTAGTTTACATACTATTCTTGCGTCAGATGATAGGAGAAGGGCTGCGTTCCTGCTTGCCCATGAGGAGCACCAGCAAAATGTTAATGTATGTTGAAAGAATTTTCTGTTTCTGGAACGTGCCCTTTCTTTTGGTTCTTAGCCTCTTTAATAGGCTCATTGTCTTTGTTTCTTTTTATTTCATTTCTGCTCATGTGGGTAAATAATGAAATTTTCTCTAACAGGAAAAATGGATGCACATGTTACGCACTTTAATTGATGAAAGGGGTCCTTGGTCTGCTAATCCATTTCCAAATATATCTGTGATACACTGGAAACTTGACAAGACAGAAGATTCATGGCGGCGCAGACTGAAGTTAAGACGGAATTATCATTTTGATAAAAAGATATGTTTTCCTCCTTCTGCTTCTCCTTCTAATGAGGCTTCTCTCACCAGTAGTGAGAGCAAATCTAGTTTTGTTGGGCACATTCCTGAGCAAATGAAGCAGTTTCTGCTCAAAAGTGCCTGCAGGATAACTGATGAGGGGAGCTCAGAACCTGTTGAGAGCAGTACTGAACCAAGCGGAGAGTCAGATATTCCTGAGGATCCTTCAGACTGTCACAGTGTGGAAGCTGTTAAAAGCATCAGTGATAAGATGGATATTGTTCAAGATAGAAAAGATATTTTGGAACCTTCACCTGAAACAGAAACTAGTGAGGTACATCTTATTGGTGGGATAGCAATCAAACTGTGTTTTTTTCTCATCCAAACATCTAGAAGTCTTTGTTAATTTTGTGGTTTGATGTTGCAGGTTGTTATGTCACTTCCATGTGTGCTTGTGACACCAAAAAGAAAGTTGGCAGGTCAATTGGCCGTCATGAAAGATGTCTTGCGTTTCTTTGGTGAATTTTTAGTTGAAGGTACCGTAGGGTCTTCAGTTTTCAAGAACTTAAATGCATCAGGCAATTTTGAGAGGGGTGATCTAAAGATTTCTGAGAAGGGGACTTCTGACAATGTAGAGGCAGAAAATTTGCATAAAGAACAATTAAAAAATGTAAAGCGTCATAGGAGATGGAGTATTGGAAAGGTAGGGAGTTATAGTTGTTTCATTTGTGCAGTATTGCTTGTATCTCTTAACTTTAATTTGACATCTTCTTGTTTACTTTGCTGACCCTAGATTAAAGCTGTTCTTTGGACTCGGTATTTGCTTAGATACACTGCTATCGAGATTTTCTTCAGTGATTCAATTGCTCCCGTATTTATGAACTTCTCATCACAGAAAGATGCGAAGCAGATTGGAACCCTGATAGTTTCTACCAGAAATGAGCTGTTGTTTCAAAGAGGAAGCAATAGGGACAGGAATGACCTTATTTCATTTGTCGATAGACGTGTGGCACTGGAAATGGCAGAAACTGCTAGGGAGAGATGGAGGAGAAGAGATATAACGAACTTTGAGTATTTGATGATTCTCAACACACTTGCTGGAAGATCCTATAATGATTTGACTCAGTATCCTGTTTTTCCTTGGGTTTTGGCTGATTACTCATCTGAGTTTCTTGATTTTAACAAGTCATCAACTTTTAGGGATCTCTCCAAGCCTGTTGGAGCACTGGACTCTAAACGGTTTGAGGTCAGTTTATTTGGCTTTGTTTAATGAATGGCATACTTAATACTGATTCCTCTACACCGCTTCTTTCGTTTCCAAAAATTTCAATTTTATGCTTCACGGTTCAGGTGTTTGAAGATAGGTATAGGAACTTCTGTGATCCTGATATACCTAGGTAATCTTCATAGTTTCCATACATTAAGTAGTTCTTTCCTATAGAATCTGATTGATCAATTTGTCTAATGTTCTGCTGTACTTCTATTTCATGGTACAGTTTCTATTATGGCTCTCATTACTCAAGCATGGGGATTGTGCTTTATTACCTCCTTCGGTTAGAACCTTTTACGTCTCTCCACCGTAATTTACAGGTATCTTCTTCATGGATTCACACATTTAGGTATTATATGATGCATGGTGTGTAAATAAATGGAACTACTGGTCTGGGTTTTGGCTATCCTCCTGTATTTTTTTGTCCATTATTTTCCAATACTTGTTTAATCACCACTCAACTTAATTTTGACGTTTAATAAATGAGACCCGTACAATTGAATGGTGATGATCAGTACATTGTATAGAATCTGATGAAAATCTGATTTGTTTTCTCAGTATTTCACATTAAATAAAACTTTACAAAGTGAGTATTTTTAAAAGACTTCAGCATCGAGAATTTCATTCCCGTAAGGAGTCCTATAGCTATACTACGCTTATCTTTTAAACTAGGGATAAAACTAATCTTAACTAATTAGATTTATCTACAGGAAATAACAAACTCTAACTACCGTATCTTCTTTACAACTCCGCATTGGATGTTAATGGATGTGAAAGTTAGGATTGGATCCTAATCCCCTTGTCTGATAATGATTTATGATAGGAAAGGAGGAAAGAATATCAGGGGTATGGACTGTTTCTTTGGTGCAATGACTGATAACCTTTCATAAAATAGTTTCAAAATCAATTTTTTTGGTGTGATCTTTGCAAAATCCACTTTTTTGGACTGATAGCAAGTTATAAAATATTAGCAAGAGAATACTTTCTTGTATTTTATTCATCAACATTATGAGTATATATACAAGAATAAAGGTCCTATAATATGTAAAATAATATCCTATATTAACCACGTAATACATATCACTTGCGGCAAATCTGGAATGGCCGCTTCATCAACTTGACATTAAGAACGCCTTTCTTAATGGAAATCTGAAGGAGGAGGTATATATGCAACAACCTCCTGGATTAAAAACAAACTCTAGTCCAAGCAAGGTAGCTACTGAAATGCCTTACAAGGCCAGATATTGCTTTTTTAGTTAGCATTGTAAGTCAATTTATGCATGATCCTAGAGAGGAGCATCTAGCAGCAGTAACTAGAATCTTGCGATACCTTAAAATGACACCAGGACATGGAGGTTTTTCACTAAGAACGAGAGTAGAAAGGTAGAAGTCTTCGTCAATGCAAGCTGGGCAGAAGAACTCACATCCTGAAGGTCCACCAGTGGGTATTGCACTCGAGTCGGGGGTAATTTGGTGACTTGGAGAAGCAAAAAACATAATGTAGTGTCAAGAAGCAGTGCAGAAGCTGAGTTTCAGGCAGAACTTAAAATCAATCACAGTGAAGATTTTGAACTTAATTGTGATAATCAATCAGCAATTAGCATTGCCAAAAATCCAGTACATCATGACCGAACAAAGCATGTGGAGTTAGATTGTGATTTTATCTCTGAGAAGGTTACAAATGGAACAGTTAAGCTTAATTTCGTCTCTACTCGTTAGCAGCTAGCCGATGTACTCACCAAGGCACTTCCTAGAACCACCTTTGACAAGTTTACATCCAAGCTGAGACTCTATAACATACTCACCAGCTTGAGGCAAAATGTCGATTGTAGATAAGACGTGTATTACTGATTGTAAATAATTAGTTAGTTTAGGACAAGTCTCTTTTTTTTATAAGAATTTCAGACCTCGTTAAAAACCCCCTTCTTGATTAATGGAGCTTGTAGGGAAGCTCCTTAATCACCGGAAGGAGAAAAAGAGTGCCTTAGGATTTTGTTGAACAATAAAATTACATAAGATACAACCAACAAAACACCTCCAACAGAATCAAATAAGCTCAAAACACCCAAACTAAAGAACACTAAATCAGCCAATACCTTCTTTAGCTAAGGCATCAGCTTCTAGTTTATCTTTAGTTTAAATTTTAAATAGACTTTTACCTAGGTTAGAATTCTTGTACAAGAGGTCCTTTAAAAAGGATAGGATTCTCTTTTCTGTAACTGAGTTAAGAAATAGAAAAGCAACGAATTCTATTTCGTAGAACTTACATCAACCCTAATATTTAACCTATAAATCTGTAACACCCCCTCAAGTTGAGTTCGTTACATAGATAATCAATCTGGACTCCGTTAAGAGCCTTTGTGAAAAAATGTTGAGTTCTCCAGTTTTGACCTAGCAGGTAGTGATTAAACCTTGTTGGATCTTTCGCGAATGAAAATGACAATCAATCTCAATGTGTTTAGTTAATTCATGAAAGACTGGATTAGAAGCTATATGAAGCACAACTTGATTATCAACACACTTATATTGGTTCAACTGCCTTCCAATGATTGAGAGTTGGTGATGACATATACTAGCTCAACTAGGGGTGTAAACGAGCCGAGCCGAGTCGAGCGAGTATTGCTGAGCTCGACTCGAAAACTCTGAAATGGAGCTCGACTCGACTCGAAAACTCGTGAGCTTAAAATTTTCAAACTCGACTCGAACTCGAAATCCTGAACTGAAGCTCGTGAGCAGCTCGAAAAGGCTCGAAATGAAAAAAAAAATTCTTAAACTTAACTCGATTGAAGCCCAAAATTCAAACTCGAACATGAACCTTAAATACATGAAATCTTACTGTATTTTTAAAAAAAATCAATACATAAATATTAATATTATTAATAATTTATTTTTTTAAAAATAAAATCTTAATATATTATATTTTCGAGCTGCTCAGGAGCTTTTCGAGTCGAATATCGAGTAGCTCGTTTCGGGCTCGTTAAGAACTCGAGTCGAGCTCAAGCTCGAGTCGAGTCCATTCGATCCGAGTATTTATCGATCCTTGATCGAGTCGATCTCGAGTAGCTCGCGATCTGTCTCGTCTCATTTACAGCCCTAAGCTCAACACACTTATCAGATAGGTGATATAAGGATGTGTCACAGTAGGATAATTCAACTTTCCAATAAGTCATTAGTAACTCTCAGGAACCATCAAGTACTACATGGTTTAGCACACAATTTTCCTATCTCCAATAGTAAATCAAGTACATTCTTCCTCTGGATAGGAAGATTCCATTTTTACTTATGCTAACTTCAACTCCTAAGAAATATTTTAACATCCCCAAGTCTGTCATGAAACTGAGGATGGAGAAGACTTTAGTGATGAAATTCTGCTAAAGTTATCATAATGGTTACAATATCATCCGCATATACAACTAACAAAATAATGCCCTTATCTTACTTTTTATAGAAAACATAATGATCTGACTTGCTCTTTTGCATCCCAAACTTCTCAATAGCTTGGCTAAACTTCCCAAATCAAGCCCAAGGATTCTGTTTCAAGCTATATTGAGATTTTTAAAAAAGACATACTTTCCCTGAATAATAAAACCAGGTGGTTGCTCCATATACACCTCCTTTCCCAAACCAAGCCCGAGGATTCTGTTTCAAGCCATATTGAGATTTTTAAAAAAGACATACATTCCCTGAACAATAAAACCAGGTGGTTGCTCCATATACACTTCCTCCCAAAAAACACCATTATGTCTAACTGATGCAAAGGAATACTCTTTTGTTGGGTCTTCCATATGGAGGAATGTTGATGCAAGGAAATTACATTACTGGAAAAGTTTAATTGCAGGAGTCGACCAATGTGGTAGTCTCCTTTGTATTAATGTTAGAATATTAAGTAGTGTAAATGACAAAGATACCCCTTCACCTAAATGCTTAACCAAGGTGGGAAACTCCATAATCTTAGGTTTTTTCCTGGAAAAAATACTGCAATGATTTTTATGAATAAATGTCATGAGATAGATGATAGCGTGAGCATCATAAATGCTAGAGTTATGTGCGAACTTTAGCTATTATCAAGGCTCTAATGCAATATGGTTTTCTTTCCTTGTTTATCACTTGTTATGTATCACTTCTTAGTTTACAATCTCTACTAATTTATCATTTTTTATCAGGGCGGTAAATTTGATCATGCAGATCGTCTTTTTCAAAGCATTGAAAGTACATATAGTAATTGCCTCTCTAATACAAGTGATGTGAAGGAGTTGGTTCCTGAGTTCTATTACATGCCCGAGTTTCTTATCAATTCAAACTCTTATCATCTTGGGGTGAAACAAGATGGTGAACCTATAAATGATGTTTCTCTCCCTCCCTGGGCTAAGGTATGTGAATTCCCATTGAGGATGTCATGTTTCATAAATTATATTGGGACAATTTTGTTTGTCAATAGGCTGTTTCAGCTTCAAGAACTTTTTGGGGTTTATGATTGTTCTTATGTTGCTTGGTAATTATTTGGTCGTCAGAAAGGTTATTTGATTCTTCTAAGAGGAATAACCTAGTATGATGGTTGGTTACGAGGAAAAATGTCTCTAAATTAAGTCAAGGCGATAAAGATTTCTGTAAAATATTCTAACAATATCATTTTTAATATGTTTCACGTGCTTGATTGTTTAAGGGTTATTATCCTATCACATTCATTAACACCTCCATTAGGATTGTGATTTTAACTGTGTAGTTAGATTTATATTGTTCATACAGGGTCCGTATCATGAAAAATATAGAAAAATAACAATTATCATGGCTCTAATGCAATCCTAGATATTCCATAATGAAATTTGTTTCTATTGTTTGATTTTCTGATAAAGATGTGGATGAGATGATGTATAAAAAAATGTAAAAGATTAAATATTAGTGGTCATCCTTTTGCAAGTGTAAAGAGCCACATAAATGGATGAAAACAATGGAGATGCGTAGCTTAACAATGACTGACTAAGTTAGGATAATGGTGAAATCTTGCAATGGAGGTGTTTTAGAAAGTAAGAATATTAAGTCTAAGATGTGGCTCCTTTTCCAGCAGGACAGAAAGACCATTTGAAAATGAAGAGGAAAGATAACCGTGCAGTTTTTGAACAGAAAAATACAGAAATAAACTAATGAAATTCATAGGGAAGATGGAATTATTTCTATTCTGGGACTGCAACATGAATATAGACGTAACCTTACAGAGTTGAATGTCTTACAGAGATGGATGTGGTAAAACCCTAGATGTCATGCTGAAAAACTTGTGTTTGCCTTTTTTTTTGTAGGGTTCGCCTGAATTATTCATTTGTAAAAATAGGGAGGCCCTTGAAAGCGAGTATGTTAGCTCAAATCTCCATCACTGGATTGATTTGGTGTTTGGTTACAAGCAGCGTGGAAAACCAGCAGTGGAGGTATTCTATAGAAATAGCATCGTTCAACAGCCGAATTTGATTTTCCTTTTGTTTTTTCCTTTTGGTTCCAAGCAGATCTCTATTAAAATAAACGTGTATTGCAGGCTGGAAATGTCTTCTATTATTTAACTTATGAAGGTGCTGTTGATCTGGACTCTCTGGATGATGAGCTGCAGAGATCAGCAATTGTAGATCAAATTGCAAATTTTGGTCAGACACCAATACAGATTTTCCGTAAAAGACACCCTAGAAGAGGGCCGCCAATTCCTATTGCTCATCCTTTGTATTTTGCACCCGCTTCTATCAGTTTGACATCTGTTGTTTCTTGTATAACTTATCCACCATCAGCTGTTATGTTTGTTGGATTGCTGGACTCGAACATCGTCATTGTGAACCAGGGTCTCACCTTATCTGTTAAGATGTGGTTGACAACCCAACTTCATTCTGGTGGAAATTTTACCTTCTCAGGTTCTCAGGTTAGTTCTTAGTTATATGCTTTTTTAATTAAATTTGATCATTCGAATGTGCTTCAGATTACGTTAGATGTATTTTGTTTAAGCTAGTTTTTAAAATCTGCAGGATCCTTTCTTTGGAGTTGGTTCTGATATTATTTCCCCTCGTAAAATTGCGAGCCCTCTGGCAGAAAATGTTGAATTTGGAGCACAATGCTTTGCCACAATGCAAACACTCACTGAGAATTTTCTAATCTCATGTGGCAATTGGGAAAACAGCTTTCAAGTCATATCTTTGAGTGATGGAAGAATGGTTCAGAGCGTTCGACATCACAAAGATGTTGTCAGCTGTGTTGCAGGTATTTACTTTTAAAAGATCTTGTAATTCTGCTGACAAAAGGAATGTCAAGCTTTCTGTTTTCATTTTCTTCTTTTCCCAACAATGTTTCTTCTTAAAAGTGGGCCACATTAGCAATAATGAGAAATGGGATTCAATTATTGATGCTAAGATGGTGTTGTAATTCAAGCTTCATAGCCTATTGATGCATAGAAGGAAAGAAAGAAAAACATACATGAACATAAAATTTGAATTGTATCATCTTACGAGTCTAGATGAGGATGCTCTGTATTTGCTAAATGTTCTTTCTTATGAATTGTTTGTGTTATAAGTGCTTATTGGAGTCTGTTTTCTAACCGAGAGTTGATAACCTACTGCAGTTACAGCTGATGGAAGCATTCTTGCTACTGGAAGTCATGATACTACAGTCATGGTGTGGGTACGTGTCAGAGTCCCAGAAAAGAGAGTTCGGAATTTGCAGACTGAGTCTATCATTGCTGAAACCCCCTTCCATATTCTCTGTGGTCATGATGACATCATTACATGCCTGTATGTCAGTGTGGAACTTGACGTAGTTATTAGTGGGTCAAAAGATGGAACTTGTGTTTTCCATACCTTGAGAGAAGGAAGATATGTCCGATCTTTACTACATCCATCTCGAAGTGCATTGTCAAAACTTGTAGCTTCTCGGCACGGACAGATTGTACTTTATTCCGACGGTGATCTGAGTTTAAACCTCTACTCTATTAATGGAAAACATCTTGCCTCTTCAGAATCCAATGGTCGCCTTAACTGTGTTGAACTCAGTGCGTGCGGTGAGTTTTTGGTTTGCGCTGGTGACCAAGGACAAATTGTTGTTCGCTCTATGAACACACTTGATGTTGTTCAAAGATATAACGGGGTAGGGAAGATAATAACATCCCTAATTGTAACTCCAGAAGAATGTTTCTTGGCCGGGACAAAAGATGGAAGTCTTCTTGTGTATTCTATAGAAAACCCTCAAGTACGCAAAGGTAGTGTCTCCTTGAATCAGAAAACCAGTGTTTCTTTTACAGGCTAAACTACGACTCAGGGTTGGAGTGACTGGCTTGACAATTACGGTTTGATTGGTGACACTGATCTCAGGTATTCTGCTCTCTTGTAGTTATTTGTATTTGGAGTCCTTTCATTCGTTTTAATAAACGTAAGTGAATGACTTAATTCTTTAAAAATATTAATCTGCTGCTACTTGAATGTAGTGGCGACCATTTCCAGCATGTAAGATCAAAGCTTCTTTGTGGTTCGTGTGTCCTTTCTTGGTCCAATATTGATGTCTCTGTTTTTGCATCACGTTTTGAAGTTGTTTGTTGTTCGTTTCTTCTTTTGGCCTATAAAATCTGATAATTTTAACAAGCTTGACCTCCTATATATACTAATAATACCCACACACACTACCTCTCCCCCATATGAGATAGCCTGCATTATAGTAAGATGCTAGCCTTATACGTGCGTATACAGAAAGACACCTATAGCAACATCTTTGTTTAAGTCCTCAAATGTTTTTAAAAGTATATACTTTTTGAAAAATATAGAATAAATATTTTAAATATGCCTATACCACCTTGTTTCGCCAAGTAAGCTTTAAAAGTGAAATATGCTCATATTAATACCTTATATTTGTATGCATTCAGAAAATGGCATCATAGCAAATAAAAGTGATTTTTCTTGAAAATATTTCTATGTATTTTTAGACCTGCTTATCAGTATGAATAGACGTTCATTGCTTATCAGTATTACACATTGGCAATTGTGGTCAGGAGACTGCCTTTAGTCTTTGCTTAGCAAAAGTCTAAAATCAAAGAATAAAATGGATAGTTGGATTTGCTTCATTCCTGCGACCTAAAATGCTAAATCTTTGCCTGAAAATAATTTAGAAGTATATAATTTCTAAATTTGAGCTCAATATTCTGCTCCCGACCGTTTGGTTTTTATTTTAAGGTACAACTGGTAAACAGCAAACAATCAATTTGTTCAACTTTTATTTCAACAAATATCTGGCATCCCTTTGCTATGTTTTCATCAATTTCTTTTGTTTTTCCCATCTTTCACAGGAATGCATTTGAAATTTGTATTCATTCCTCCATTTCTAGATTTTTAGCGCATGGAGATGAAGATTGCAGATTATTTCTTTTCGTCGGCATCATCCGAGTCCAAGTGTTATATTACTATCCAACAAACAGGATTCTTATCCATTTTGTAACCGTAAGAAATGGGGAGGTATGATATGCAAACTTTTTAGAAATTCAATTTTCTTTGAGTTTACAAGGAACTGGAACAGAATGTGTACAATATTTTACCGATATAGGTTAGATTTCAATTCTTTTGTATTACCAACTCTCAGCTCACAGTTTTTCTTTTTTCTTTTCTCTTTTCTAAATAGCAAAATCTAAAGTTTTAACCCAAACTTTGCACATGTATGAACAGTGTCTGATTCTAAATGAATAATTACCCTCAACACCTTTGAATGAAAAGACATGGTAATTCATAATGTCGGAATTGTATATTTCATCATGTCATAATTGTTTTAGTATTTTGTATTTATGTAATTTTTGATGCATTAAATGATTCATATTGTATTGAAACATTCGTGTTATGGTTGTGTTGTATGATTATATCTGGTGTTTAGAACTGCCAGATCTGCTTGGCAACACATTCGGATACAAATTGTAGGCAGGTTGGTTGTGCTAGGCAAAGGGAACGAGACGATGCCGATCTGATTCTAAGACGAGATATGAATATGGTCCATCAGGGTGAAATTGGATACACACACACACATAACATGAAAAGTACTGATTATGGATCAGGTTTCTTTTTTTAACTTTACAAAAATGTATGCACATAGAATTTTATATTAGGTGTAAATTTATAAAATTTTGAGGGGCGTTAACAAATTCTCAATAGAAAATTCAAAGAAAATAGGGTAAATTATGAGGGCAGTCCTTTTCATTTCTGGGTTTGATTTACTTTGGTCATCACTTTAAAAATAAGTGTGTTTCATCTTTTACATTATTGAATCCATTCAATTTTATCTCTTGGTCGTTAACCCTTTAATAGAAGTGTTATGTGTTAACTAAATTTTTAAAAAAAACCGTGTTATGACACTTGACACAATTTGATTTGAATATTAATTTTATTTTAATTTATTAAATTTAAGTTCAATTTTATAGAATATGTAAGTAACCATGTCTAAATATGTAATTATATCAAATTCTTTAATTGTCGTGTTAGCTTCTTTGTAAAATGTTTACGGCAAATGATGACACAATGAATATTTTAGTGATTAAAGTGATAGTTTTTACTTTTAGAAGTCTTAAGTTGGAGATAATACAAAAGTATTTAGCTTTTATTGTCAAGTTGTTGAGAATTTTTAGAAAAAAATTATTACATCGTAAATATCTTAGATTAAAAAATAGTTGGATGACTGGAGTTGATAAAATTTAAAAAATAATGGTCAAAATGAAAAGATGTAATAGTTAGATGATCAATAGTATAGTTCACCCTTAAAATAAGCACATGAACGCGCGTGCCGTCCTCTTCGGACATTATCATCAAACTTGGTTGAAGCTGGGGGAGCCCACAACAATCTCAGTCAGTAACACATTCCCCATGCATGCTGCTTATTGATTGGTACGTGTGTTGCGGATGAGGGGCAAAGGCGCGTGAAGGTGGAAGGTGGGGAAGAAAAACATGTGCGTAGGTTAGTTAAATGCCGGCAAAATTAAAATGAAAAGCCGCTTTCTTGTCCCCTAACACAGCTTGTTTGGATAATATCGCTTCATTTCTGTTTTTCTTTGTCCCCTTTCAATTAATTGTGTGATTTTGCATTTTCTAATTATATTTTGGGTAAACTATACCCTTAACCATTTAATTATTGGAAATTTTAATTTGATCACTAGTTTTTTAATTTTTCAATTTTACTATTGATCTTTTTGTTTTACGTTTATCGCTAACCTTTGATGAAGGAGCTTACATTATAGTTAATAATAGTTTAATTATCAGTTAAAAGTTTTGGAGTTAAATTTAATTTCTAAAAAGTTGAGGACCTGATTATATTTTCAAACTTAGTGACTGATGCATATTGCTTGTTTTGGGGGATGTTCCACTCCACTGATTATAATATGTCAATCGAGGGTAAATATAATGTAGTATCTATTCGAAGATAACTTCTAATCATTTGATATTAAACGCTCACACTTCTAGTATTCTTGGTGCTCAACCCATGACCTTAATAAATAACAACTGATTATTATTTGTTTTACTTTAGACATTTTTTGTTAAATTTATTTCTATTTGCTAAATTCAATTATTTAGTGAATACAAATACCCGATTGATAATTTTTTTATGATTCAAAGAAAATATTGATTTTATGTAATAGTAAATAAATTTCGTTTTTAAATAATTATTTAAATATTATAAAAATATAAATATTTGATTCGCAATCATCCTACAACCAAACCTTCTCGATGACCTCCCTATGTATTTACACAATTTCTTTCTCTCTATTTTTCTTATTCTTTTGTTGTTTATTTATTTAAATGATTATATTGAGTTTGATTTCCGAAAACAGTTTCATTTTTGAAAATTAATTTTTAAAAATTGGAAAATATAAATAAAAAATATTTTTAGCAACAAAAATATGAAAATGTGTTTGATTATGTATTCTCTGATAATAAAAATATGATAAAATGTATGTATTTATATAAATTCGAATCGGAATTATATATCTAATATTTATAATTTGTTAAAAATAATTTTTTATTTACTTAAATTGAATTTAGGCAAATTTATTAAGTTAAAATATCATTGTTTTCAACTTTTTTTAATCAATGAAAACACCATTTTTATGATTATTTTTATTTGAAGGTATTTTTAATTTATTTACTTTTTTATATTATTAAGAAAATAAAAACGAAAAATAAGTAAGAACCCCACATTTCTCTAATAAATATACCTTTAAGAAATAAATAAATAAATAAATAATGTTTAAAAAATTAAATAAAAAAGCATAATAGGGTATTTTTCTTTGAGAAATAAAAAACTAATTTACTTTTTTTAATACATTAATGTGATGTGAATGGGAATCTCTGTTTGTTAAAATAGAAAGAATATATAATAAGCTAAGCACTGAGTGCAGTGTAGGGTGGTTGAATTTGTTATATTTAGCTAAGCAATTTCTTCTCATTAGTTTTTGAATTTTGTAAAATCCCATTTATATATTACTTTTTGTTTCTCTATTTTTCTTGAAAAAAAATTGAAATTCCGAATTCAAACACACCAATAATAAAATAAAATGAATAAAATTGTATTGTATCAAATTAAAATACGTTTACAAATGAATTTAGTTATAAATTAAGTCATGATTTAATTGTTTTGTAAATTGTGAAAAAATCATTTTAAGAGTAATATATATTATAAATTTTGAAGTATGTTGAATGATTTATTAATTAATTAATTTAACTAAATTTTATTGTAAAAATAATATTTTTAATTATAATTAAAAAAATTTAATGTCTCGCCTATCTTTTATTAGTGTAATATAAGATAGTATCTGCATACAAAAAAAGTTTGAAAATAAAATCTGAAAAAATAAAATTAATTTTTTAATTATTAAAATCATTTGATTGTTACTTTGTGTATGTGCAATGGAGGGTCCTTCGGTTTCTCTCTCTCTTAAAAAAACACTGTACTTTCTCCTCTTCTTTTGCTTCCATTTGAGTTCTAAGTGAAAATCAAACGAAAATACAAAAGGATTTTGATTTTGATTTTGATTTTGATTTTGATTTTGATTTTGATTTTGATCTTCTCCTTACTTTCCGATCCACCAATCCCATCAGTTAATCTTTCTTTTTCCCTTTCATGTTTCTAACAGATAATTTTGTTACAGCTTTTTTCTTTTCTTTTTGTTATTTTAGCTTATGTTTCTTTTTTCTAGTTAGTGATGTTTGTTTCATGAGAAGCTGACGAGAAACTAAAGGAAAAGTGTAAAGAATGCAGGAATTTCTTTTTAGTTAGTTATCTTCTTCGTAAGTTGAAGAGTTAAGCTCAGCTCTTGATTGTTGGTCTTGAGCTTTAGGAGCTTTAGTTTAAAATCCAATTTTCTCAGTAACCAAACATGCTACAACTATTTGCATCTTTTATGTATTATCATTTTGCTCGTCAAAAGAAATATAAAGAAAGCTTTCCTTTTACCTCTCTTCTTTAGGCGCGTGCTGGTTTATTGCTTCTTTTTATTGCATCATTGCATGCATTTACATTTGCCAAGCAAAAAATACTTTAAATGCGGCTCTATAATTTCCAGTGAAACAATTTGTTTGATATTTTATATGATAATTAAAATTTATATATATTTGTTTTCTCGCTCAATAATTTCATAGGAGTTTTTGTTTTTAACATTTGAAGAGGTAAGGCTTCTCATACTTAAGATCCACGCTGTTTTATTTGATCTTATCACCTTATTTCTCTAATTTCATTAAGTATCTACTTGAAACTCTGTTGTTTAATCTGTTTGGGGATAGTTTATAATTACTCATAGGTTCCTGTTGCCAGCTATTGTTTTAAATATGCAGCTTTAGCTTCTTTACATCTTCAAAGAATAAATTCTGTTATCTTTGAATATAGCAGGCTGTCAAGTGTTAACTGTGTTAATTCCGATGTCTCCGCCGCTGCTCGGTGTGGAGGGGGAAGGGGGTCTGAGTAAAATAACTTTACTGGATTCTCCAGGCTCGGTGGATAGTGCGTGCCAGAATAGTGCTGAATTGAAGGAACGCAACTACATGGGCTTGTCTGATTGTTCTCCCATGGATAGCTCTATTGTCTCCCTTGCATCCGAGGAAAGCAAGTCTAGTTTGAATCTGAAGGCAACCGAGCTTAGTCTTGGGCTTCCTGGATCCCAGTTGCTCGAAATAAATCAGGATCTTTGCTTGCTAAGCACAGCTCAACTCGATGAGAAACCCCTTTTCCCTTTGCATTCTTCAAGTGATGATCACTGCACTGCATTGAAGAAGACTGTTGTAGTTTCAGGCAACAAAAGAGGGTTCTCCGATGCAATGGATGAGTTCTCTGAGGTAGAAACTATTGCGATTTATGAATACCAAGACTAATGTTAACAAATCTAACCTGCAAAGTACATAATCTATGTTGCAGGGTAAATTTCTTTCAAATTCAAAAGTAAGTGTGATGCCATCATCCAGGCCATCTTCAAACTTGGGACTGAAATCAGGTTATGTGCTTGAGAACCTTGGGTATCAACCAACAAAAACCAATGAGATCACGAACCAGAACGTGGCACAGGATAGACCTTATGCTGCTAAGAATACCGTGCCCGATCCTAATGTGACTTCAAATAATAACAGTGAAGCACCAGCTAGCAAGTACGCGTGCTTGGTTTCTTGTTATAAATTTGGGTTTAACATTTATAAGATTCTCTGATCATCTTTCGTTTGCAGGGCACAGGTTGTAGGCTGGCCTCCTATTAGATCATTCAGGAAGAACTCATTGGCCTGTAATTCCAAGAACACTGATGAAGTAGATGGAAAGGTAGGGCCTAGTGCTCTGTTTGTTAAGGTCAGCATGGATGGTGCTCCTTACTTAAGGAAAGTAGATTTGAGAAACTACTATAAATATCAGGAGTTATCTTCTGCTCTCGAGAAGATGTTCAGATGTTTTATCCTAAGTGAGTTATTTCATTATAAAGATTTTAGGCAGTGGACTTCATATGTACGTTGTGCTGCGCAGCTGTGATTGATACAAAGACAGTAGAATTGATTTGTATGGACCCAGTTACTGCTATTTTACTATGATTTCAGATCAATGTGGATCTCATGGAACCCCGGGTAGGGAGCTAATGAGCAAAAGCAAGCTGGAGGATCTGCTGCATGGATCAGAATATGTTCTTACTTATGAGGATAAAGATGGTGACTGGATGCTTGTGGGTGATGTCCCATGGGAGTGAGCTCTAAGTCCCTTTTCATAGTTTTGCTTCTAGTTGTGTCCTTCCTACCAAACCAATAATAATAACACAATATCGCTACTTTAAATATTGAGTCACTGTTAGAATCTATTTTTAAGTTATCAGGGAAATGTCAGCGTTTCACTTCCGTAGAAGTAAAAATTAACTCATGGTATGGTTTACAAAATGCGCTCATAAGATTCGAAAACAGAAATTGTTTCTGTCACATAGCAATCTACTTTCAAGCTTTTGGGTTTTTCTTGAGCTTGTAAAGAAATGCTAAGAAGTAAGAACATCTCTGAATCAGTTAGGATGATTACAAAGTGTGAGCTCTGCTTGATATATTATATATAAGATTTTTGTGAGAGCCCTTTTAAACAGAAAGGAACCCTTGTTCATTAGCTCTAGAGAAAAACTCTCTTATGATGATGCATGCATCCATGTATCATTGGTTGGACAACTAATTTATTTGTTTCCCCCTTTATTTAGCTGACCATCAGCCAGAAAAGGGATGTTAAAACCATTCCATCGGCCAGACATGTATGCTTAACTTTTCTCAAGATAGGGAAAATTAAAATTCATGTTGCTTGACCTGCAAAAATTCAAAATAGATTCCAATGTTTCTCTATCATTCTTTTTCTTTACTCGGACTCTTAATGCTCCAGTTATGTTACCGTTTGTCTGCATTAATCCAAATCTGAACATGTTGCTGCATTAGGAAATTCAGCTTATTAGCATTTATTTCTCAAATTTCAACTGGATCAACGGCAGTTAACTGCTGCCTAATTCAAATTTGGCATTTGTTTCAGGATGTTTATTGATACCTGTAATAGGCTAAGGATTATGAAAAGCTCTGATGCCATCGGACTTGGTAATTATTTTTATATGTTTAAACATCAACTGTTTGTCTTGGCATCAGCTAGTATGGAAGCCATTTTTATAATTTACATATTGTTCTGTGAAATGCCTAGATATATACATGATGGTAGTGTCGAGAGTTCTCCTACTATTATTCTAATGTTGACATAAGCATTTTTTGTGCCTTCAACCTTCAAGTTTGACATCTAATGTTCTAAACTGTCACGCAAAATTTTGGCAGTATTTCATGACATGTAAATTATAGTGGAGTGTTCAGATCTTGAAGACTTAAGAAACACTAATGCTGTATGAATGTAATTCCATGGGGAAAAAATGCAGGGATCGGAGCTAGCTAGCACCATAGATGATTTTGCTAACCACTGCAGCAGCCTTCATGGAGAAGATGTGGAAGCACTTTCGTGATTATTTCGATCAGATGAAAGGATGCTGCAGCGGATTGGAGATCACATTCATCTATTGTTGCAACATATATCTTCGTTTGCCGAGGGGATTCAAAACAAGTAAGCCTGTTTTTAGTGTACTAAAATTATATTAAAAAAACATCAAGACTTAAATGTTTGCAAGTAATTTTACGATTCCATTGATTTAGTCCGAACCAAGTCATGTGTGTTCTCTATGGTGAAAGACATCCACATTATCTGTAAACCTTGATTTGTATCAACTCTTGTGTGTTGGTAATGATACTGGTATGATGTGTTGTTCTGCTTGTAACCATTGTTTTGCATTTTTTTTGGTATGCTTCCTTACTTTTGTTAAATTTAACCGATCCAAAGTAAACTGCCGGAAATTCCGACCAAGTCCGGCATAATTTAGGAATATACCCTCTGTTAAAAAAATGATTTTGTTTGGTTTGAACTTCAAGGCTTGCCATATAAAACTAATAGAGATGATGGCAGCCCTCTAGATATTGTTGTCGGGGAGTAGCCCCAGCAAAGCATGTGAGAGACTGCATTATTGTCGAGTTTTCTCGGAATAAATAATGTAAATTGGGGGGGGGGGGGACCATTGAGGTTAAGGCCAATGTGCTTGGTCAACTACGAATGGTGTACTTTGGGCACAAAATTGATGGAGGATTGACCTAGAGAATTGAGCCACCGGTACACCACAATGTCCTTTGATAAGACTGTCCTTTTACCGTAGTTTTGAAGTTTACAGTAGGACTTGAATAAGTTTTAACAGGATAGACGGACGGATTAACTAAGTCTCAGCATGGATGAATGAGGGATTGGTGGGCCAGTCATTCTTTAAAAATTTTAAATTATCATATTTTATATTTTTTTTATATTTTCTATTGATAATTTATTTCTGCCCACAAAAAATTTTGCGATTATAAGTAGTAACAATTTGGCCTCTAGTAATAATTGTAAAAGTGGTCCTAGATAGGATGGTCAATTCCATTTAGTGAGTTCTACTTGTTGCATTGGGCAAAAAGGTTCTAAAAAAAGTTAAAATGCAGCCTTACACAAAAAGGTTTTAAAAAGTTGAAATTTATATAAATGAACCAACAAAAAAGTTAAATTTTGTTTTTCACTATTGCTGAGATAATTGGAACATTTATTTGAATTTAAATATCAGAATAAATTTCGACAAAGTTCTCATGTCATGTTTATTTAGACTGCTTTGTTATAAAATTTTACATTATATTTTTATCTTTATTATTGTTATTATTGTTAAATGCATGATTGAATTTGATGTAAATTGATTCACTTGCCAATATATATAGTTATAAAATAAAATAGTATATAAATAATTGAACTTTTCAAGTATATAAACAACCATTTCTGTAGTTGTTTTCTCCAATTAAAATCACTATAACCAATTAGGCTTTAGCAGAGTTGACAAAGGTTAAAGCTTTAAGATTTTGAATGTCTAAATTAGATTCACACTATAGGTAAACCTCGTATTTAAATAGTATGATTGTTCCTGTATTGGTGAGTTCAGTCGAACTCGAGTATTGGTGAGTTCAATCGAGCTCGAGTATTGGTGAGTTCAGTCGAGCTCGAGTATTGGTGAGTTCGACTCGACTCAAAAAGTTTATATTTGAATTTGACTCAACTTGAAAGTTTGCGAGCTTAAAATTGTCAAACTCGACTCGAACTTGAAATCAAAAATTGAAGCTCGACTCTAAATAACTAAACATTCTCAGACTTAATTTGATTGAAACTCAAACTATAACTAGAACTCAAACATGAACCTTAAGTAATTGAAAATATTATATTGCATTTAGAAAAAGCATATAAATTCCATTACCCCAAACTAAGGGCTGGGAGAACTAGCGCATAGTCTTCTAAAGGGGAGGAACAATTGAGAGAGAGAAGAAAAATGTGTCGAGAGATGCATTTGAAGGTAAAATTCGCATGGTATTTATAGTAACATGCATGCTTAAAATTACGAATGCACATTAGTGATTTAACCGTTGTGGAATTTGAGATATTTCGAGAACACTTGATCGAATAACAAAGCATGAAATATAAGATTTTTTTTATAAAATATTTGACTAGTTTCAAAAATAAAAAAAACTGGATCATGTCTCTTGTGTTTGCACACATGGAGAAAATCGATCAATTTGAATTGATCTAGATTTTGAACTTAAATTTTGTGAAGTGGTGTTCAATCGGTCGGTTCAGTTAACTGGTCAAACTAAATCGGTTAAATCAACCAAAAATAACTTCTATTCGATCGGTTAAATCGGTTAAAACCAAAATTTGAACGCCCCTAATTTTGTGCACCTAGATTACCTTCTAATTTTTCTCTTACAAGTTTAGCAAAAAATGTTTAAATTTGAACCAGAACCAGAACCAGAACCAAAATATTTATACAAAGGATGTGGGGTTCTTTTGAAATAGCTTAAACACTTTATAGCAATGTCCCACATGTTTCAAAAGAATATTAATAGGGTAAACTACACAGATGGTCACTTTTTTACGATTTGTCTTATTTTGTTCATTGGTTTTGAAAAAATTATGTTATGATCACTTCTATTTTTAGCTTATATTATTTGAGTCAATAAGCCATTAAACCTTGTTAGTTTAATTGAGTGGCACATTAGTAAAAAGATTTAATTATTAATTTATTCTAAATTTTAGATAAAATATTAATTTGATCTATGAACTTTAGATAAAATACTAATTTGATTATTAAAGTTTAGATAAAATATTAAATTGACTCCAAATCTAGATAAAATCTCACACCGTCCGGTTATCATCAGTCTTCATCAGCGATGACCATTGAACCTCAATGATACATACCAGCAATGATACATGCCAACAATCACCTGCTAAAGAGTTCCATAACCAACCAACAACGAAAAACACTCTCCAGGAGAACAATCAACAGCAAACGCAAAACACTATGGCATATATCAAATCCAGGAAGCACCTACGAATAAACCAATGGGAAGCCCTCACTCACCATGAAAACAATCAAACCCGACAAGAAAGCAGAAAATAACAATGAACGAAAGCCCGGGCACTCGGATAAAGAAAACACAGAAGCACTACAACCCCAGAACCACAAGATCAACTCCACGTGCAGGAAAAAGCAACCCCTACAAAAAACTTCCATTCCCTACTAACCGAGCCACAAAACAAAACACTCAAAAGCAGTAACCGATACCTCCACGCCAAAATTCCCCACAACACCACACTGTTAACTACGCTTATCAATGGAATCTAAACATCTAAAATTATCCAGGACCGATGGACATAACATAGGCCACAAACCTTTACACCAGAACCCTATTCTCAGCATAGCCGAATTATACAATTGCTCCTCGCAAAACAATTTATGATTGAAAATAACCTCGTTTCTGCATACCCAAATGGACCAAGAGATTTCAAAAAATGCTAGGTGCCAAAATTGTTTACACCATCTATTTAGAGGTTGATCTATCCACATATGTAGAAATACTTTAATGTTACCTGGACAAATGAAATGACTGCTCCATTTCGACACCCATCTTGCCATAGTCTCCACGAAACTGAACAATGGCATAAGTGAATAATCGTCTTCGGTTCTTTTTTACATAGCACACACGGGGCAGTATCCGAGCTCACCACGCCCCTTTTCGACAGTTCTACAAGCGTTGGAACTCTATTTAAAACTGTCTTCCAAATGAAATTTAATGCCACAACAATACTTCGAATTCCATAAATCTAGCCTAAAACCTTTTAAATTTCTTTATAATTAAACCATAACAATAAATTTTTCACTACTATTGATTGCCGACCATTAGTGATTATTATTATTTTATTCTTTTTCATATTTTGTCTTTTGTTTTTCGAATTTTTTCAATTTTAAACAAGAATCTTTGTCCTTATGACACTTTTTTCTCTATTATTGTGACATGTTTTTTCTATGCTCTTGCGACATATTCCCTATGGCTTTTGGTATGTTTTTCACATACCTCTGCGATCGCCTGGGTGTTCGCACAAAAATCCCCACGACATTTATTTTCTAATTGGCTGTCAGATCTCCTCTTTAGTAAAAGGTTGTTCGTCGATATAATCAGAATTGTATAACGAAGTAGTCTGTCAAATTGTTTGGTTCACTCACTACTCCTTTACCACTTCATAAAACTCTCATTCGATAGAGACAATGAGTTTTATAAAGTTACTAGATTCTTTTGATGTTAGACGTCATTCTCAATGGAATGTTTCGTTTTCCGAGTTTAATATTTTGTTTTATGTATGAGTATTTTTTGCGACTATTGTCCCTGATTTTCTTTTTAGGTGCATTGTCATTTTGATTCATTCTATTATTTTTATTAATGAAATTCAGTTGTCATGCTTAAAAAAATAAAATAAAAGGCTAAAAACTCTCTAAAGCATCTTCAAGAACCCTACTTTTTGGTTCAAAGTCAAAATCGAAGACAAAGAAACTAACCCAAAACCTTAACTTTGCCTGAAAAAACTAGCAGAGATGGCTGCGATAGAGGAAAGCGTGGGCGAAGATTGTTCGACAGAAAAAGAAAAGCCGATGATGGTGATCGGAACAAGTGAAGTTGCAGAGGATGATGGCCACAACAAATATGGCATAAGTTACGTACAAGTAGCATATATGGTCTTTGTGATGACAGCACTCTTCACCCGTGTAAGAAGATACCACCATTATTCTGCTCAAACAATGGAGGATTTTCTATCCTTCCAAACAATCTTAAACATTTCTCAGAGAAGGCAAAATTTCATTGCGTTCAGTTAACGATGTTATTATTTGTGTTTAATACATGAAATACGTGTTGAGCTGAAGTTAGTTGAATAACCATGTAGGATACGAGTTGGATGCAAAAACCATTAGTTTTCACGAAAGACTTTCATAAATTTAGAATTTAATTATTCGATGATTATAATTTATATTTTAAAAAAATATGTATCGTATTTACATTTGAATATGTATTGAATACGTAGGTTAAATACAAATATTTCAAATATAGTTGACGACCAACACTGATAGACAAATAACATTTTCTTAAAAAATAACTTTTTCTTTTATTAAGGTTTCACGAAATCGAGCTAATAAAAATTAATAATTCAATTTTCAACATAATTTTCTATTAATGTTTAGCTACAGTTCACGCGTTGAATTTTATCAAAATAATTACAATTATTGTACACGAAAAATTTTATTATGATATGATATATCAATTACATCAATCAAAAACACTATTATTATCGAAATATATAATAATTTAAAATATTTTTTTTACAGTTACATCACATATTTAATAGACAAATATTTTTGATTTACATGTAATTTAGTATATATAATTTATGTGAATAAAATATAATGATTAGTTTTTTAATTAATATAAGATGATTATAAGGTAATATATGTTTTAAAAATTCTCAATTATTTGATAATGAAAATACAAATACTCTTACAATTTTTGATGCTCGAACTTAAAATCTTTAAGAATTTTAATCATTGAAGTGCTTGATTAGTGCATCTAATAATTAAAATATAAATAAAGAGATAAGTAAATATATAAAGAGTGGGCATCTTTTAAGCTCCTAATTGAATATTTTAATATTGCAACTGAGTAATCAAAAATAGGGTTGTTCATTTGGTTAAAATCGAATCGAATCGAATTAAATTAATCATAACCGAATTAATCGAACTTTTTTTAACCGTTAACCGAATTGAACTTTTTTTTGAAAATATTAACCGAACCGAATCAATTTCAGTTAATTTTTGAATTAACCGAAAAATTTACAAATTTTCTAATTTATATAAAAATTAAATATTTTTTAATTCAAAAAAAGTTTATAATTAATTTAAATAATATATAATTATAAAATAAAAATTTTAGATAAATTTTTTAATTAATTAATATTGATTTAGGTTTAAAAGTTATTGGATTTTAAATTATTAATTGGGTTTTAAATGGTTTGGGCTGAACCTATATGTTATATATAATATATATAATATTTTTAATTAAAAAAATAGTTTACAATTAATTTAAATAATATATAATTATAAAATAAAAATTTTATATAAATTTTTTAATTAATTAATATTGATTTAGGTTTAAAAGTTATTAGATATTAAATTATTAATTGGGTTTTAAATGGTTTGAGCTGAGCTCATATGTTATATATAATATATTTAATATTTAAAATTTAATTTTGGTTAATTCGATTAATTAACCGATTTTGAACCAAATTAACCGTTAATCGAATTCTAAAAAATTTCTTAACCGTTAACCGACCGAACTAATTCGGTAACCGAATCAAATTAACCAAACTAATTAAATTCGATCGATTAACCGAATTAATTCGATTATTTGAACACCCTAATCAAAAAGTAATAATATTGCTAAAACAACATTTTTGGAAAGAGTGGGCATCTTTGCTTTATCAATCACACAGATTCCCAAATAACATTCAATGGCATAATTGTCTTTTTCTAGAGTAAGCAAACACAACCGCATTACTGTACTCCCTCTGTACCTTAATTAACTCTTTTATATAATGTAAAATTCCCCAACAACATTATATGTATAATATTCCTCTACTTATCTAATCAAGGGTCGACATTGATATGTTGAAGGTACGATTGTATCTCTCTAACAATATTAAATAAATTTTTAATTGATCATGTACTCTTAAAATTTATCAATTTCACCTTCACTGAATTTTTAATAGGGTAAATTACATGTTTAGTACTTAAACTATTAGTTTTGATTTATTTTAGTACTTATTTTTTCTTCTTCAAAATCATGCACAACGTTTAGTTTTTGTTTCATGTTAGTATCCCGCCATTAAAAACTTAATGGACGTACTCGTCGGCCGCCGCATCTACAATTATCAGCCATCGTATTCATCAGTCGATGAAGCTTAAACTTTTCAGCCCTCACATTTTCGACCCCCTAAATGCCATTTCGGCCTTCATTTCATCGGGGAACGTCTCAATCTCCCCAAATTGACGATAGAACCTTCGATTTTTTCATTGTTCGATCTTCATGGTTCACCATCTGATGGGCCTGAAACTGAACTATGTTGGTCGACTCGTCATTCTCTCATAGTCCACCATTCAAATTGGTCGTCCGTCCACCAGAGTTATACCATGTCAGCCCGTCTGTTAAGTTTTTAACGGCGGAATATTAAAATGAAACAAAAACTAAATGTTATGTATGATTTTTAAAAAAATGAAAGTTTAATAACTAAAACGGATCAAACTGATAGTTTATGTACTAAAAACATAATTTACTTTTATTTTAATACGACTTTTTAGATTAGTACATTTGATATAAAATATTGTATTGAACCATTATCCTGGAAATCAAATCCTCAGTACTTAGAAGCTTTTACCATGATGAAGAAATGAGTAGAAATAAAAGAATTGGCCGGGTGGGAAGGTTTAAATCAAAACGTTAATAATTGCTAGATGCTGACATTATCCCATTGGCTCAATTGGTCAACACAATCTTTGATTAGAGACGACAAATGATTCTTGGTCTGGGTTTTTTCATGTTAATCGGTCAAAATTAGCACCCAAACATAGTGGTGCAATTAAGATGAGTCAATTATTCTTTGTTTGAAAGTGTTGGTGCTTGCCCAAACATGGAGGGTACTTAACCCTCAATTAAGACGAGTAGGCCATAAAATTTCTACGGTGTTAGCATGATAATTTATGATCACATTTATTTCATTATTGACATGACTAATATTTCATTATTGATGTGATGTTATATTATTTAACAATGAAATACGTATGAACTAAATCAAGTTAGTTCAAATGGTAAGTAATTTGATATTACTTAAATAAGGTCTCGAGTTCGAGTCATTATGTATACAGAAAATTCCTGTTGGGAGACTAATCCACCAAAATCATGTGTGCAACATAAGTCGGTCTAGATTAATCAAGACGAAACCTTGGAACCAGGAGGACAAAAAAATTACATATGAATTATTAGGTTAATATTGTAGAATACGTAAATTGCCTCATTAATTATCTTGTTAAAATTCTGAAAAAAAATTAATAATCTCATCATCATTTGGTTTAAAATTGAAATAATTTAACTAAAAATTGTAAAGTCATATTTAATTCAGTAATTGAATAAAAATTAAATTAATAAAAGATATAAATATTAAGGATTAAATTATATATAATACCCTTCAAAATATATGTAATCGCACCAAGTACAGCATAAAGGCGAATCATACTATCTGTCATGTAATGCCAGAAACAAAATTTGCTTTTGGAACATTGCAAACTTTAATAAAATTAGTACTATAATATTAATGTAAATGGCAATATTGGTAGCCTACCTTCGGCTTTCTACTACCTTTGTACTGATCGAATCAAAGAGGGTCCTCATGGAAGACAACATGCGATGATGATCGTAGATCAAACATCAACTCCACATTATTCCCAACATCTGACCTCTATATGTGCTTCTTTATGCCGAAGAAAACGCACGGTGATGCCGATCGTATTTCTTAACATTCACAGTAATGATGTCTAGGCATTAATCAACTCATTTATATACTCTCTTCTTCACCTTCTTCTCTGCAACACCAGTTTTAACCACTCTTTCGTTTTTCTTTCTTTAAATTATGGCACCAAAAGCTGATTTTGTCCTTCTAGTGTTGTTTGGTTCTGTGTTTTGTTCTTGTCGGGCTAGGAAACATGATCAGTCTGAGTTTTTTGAGTTGATGAAAACCTCGTTATCGGGACAGGCCTTGTCTGATTGGGATGTTAATGGTGGGAAAAGTTACTGCAATTTCACGGGAGTTAACTGCAACAATCGAGGGTATGTTGATGCTCTTAATATCTCCGGCTGGTGGCTCACCGGAAACTTTCCGGACGACGTGTGCTCTTACCTGCCGGAGCTTCATGTTATCGATATCAGCCGTAACTATATCCACGGAAACTTTCTGAACGGGGTGTTGAATTGTTCTTCCCTGGAAGAGTTCAATATGAGTTCTATTTATATAAGAACAAAGCTTCCGGATTTCTCGAAACTCGTCTCTTTACGTGTTCTCGACTTGTCGTACAATCACTTCACTGGCGATTTCCCCATGTCCATAACTAACCTTACCAATCTTGAAGTGCTCTACTTCAACGAAAACGATAAATTAAAGCCTTGGAAACTCCCGGAGAACATTTCGAGGCTTTCGAAGCTCAGAGTTATGGTGTTCACGACATGCATGTTGTATGGTCGGATTCCAGCATCAATTGGGAACATGACATCACTTGTTGATCTTGAATTGGATGGGAATTACCTATCTGGTCGGATTCCGAGGGAGCTCGGTTTGCTCAAAAACTTGCAGCAACTTGAATTGTATTACAACCAGTTATCTGGGACAATACCCGAAGAACTTGGAAACCTGACAGAGCTCAGAGATTTGGACATATCGGTCAATGCTTTGAGTGGAAGCATTCCAGGGTCTATCTGTCGAGTTCCGAAACTACGATCTCTTCAGCTTTATAACAACAGTCTTACAGGAGAAATCCCTGGTGAAATTGCAGAGTCAACAACTTTGAGCATCCTTTCACTCTATAGAAACTTCTTGTCGGGGCATGTTCCTCAAAATCTCGGGTTTTCGTCCCCTATGATCGTTCTCGACTTGTCGGAGAACAATATTTCAGGTCCGTTGCCAGCCGAGGTTTGTCGAGGAGGTAAATTGTCGTACTTGCTTCTGTTAGACAACAAGTTTTCTGGAAACTTGCCTGAAAGTTATGCCAACTGCAAAACTCTTCTAAGATTTCGGGTTTCTAATAACTATTTAGAGGGATCGATTCCTGGTGGACTCTTCGTTCTGCCTCATGTTTCGATCATTGATTTGGCTGACAATAATTTCTCGGGTGGTTTCCCGAATTCATTTGGAAATGCTCGGAATTTGTCCGAACTGTTGTTACAGAACAATAAAGTGTCTGGTTTTTTACCTCCTGGAATCTCTGGTGCTGTCAACCTGGTGAAAATTGATTTCAGAAACAATCTTTTATCTGGTTCAATTCCTTCAGAAATTGGGAATCTGAAGAAACTGAATTTACTTTTGTTGCAAGGTAACAATCTCAGTTCTTCGATCCCGACATCGTTTTGTTCGCTGAAATCTCTCAATGTTCTTGATATTTCCAACAATCACTTGACTGGTAACATCCCAGAGTGTCTCAGTGACCTTTTGCCAAACTCCATGAACTTTTCGAACAATCAACTTTCTGGACCAATCCCTCCGTCATTGATTGAAGGAGGGTTGGTTGAAAGCTTTTCAGACAACCCAGGTCTTTGTGTTTCAACTCATGTCCGAAATTTCCCCATATGTTCACACATTTACAACCAAAACAGACTAAAATCCATGTGGGCAGTCATAGTTTCTGTCATTGTCATTACAATCGTAGCTCTTTTTGTCCTCAAACGTCGTTTGAGTACACAGAGAGCTGTAATGGAACACGATGAGACTTCGTCTTCATCGTTCTTTTCGTATAATGTGAAAAGCTTCCATAGGATATGTTTCGACCACCATGAGATCATTGAAGCAATGGTTGATAAGAACATCGTGGGGCATGGAGGATCCGGGACAGTGTATCGAATCGAATTGCGGAGCGGTAATGTTGTTGCAGTCAAGAAACTATGGAATAAAGCATCGAAAGATTCGGGTTCGGATGATCAGTTGATTTTAGATAAAGGATTGAAGACTGAAGTCGATACACTAGGAAGCATAAGGCACAAGAACATAGTCAAGCTTTATAGTTGCTTCTCGAGCTTGGATTGTGACCTGTTGGTTTATGAGTACATGTTGAATGGAAACCTTTGGGATGCTCTTCATAAAGGAAGGTTCGATCTGGATTGGCCGATCCGACATCGAATCGCACTCGGGGTTGCACAGGGTTTGGCATACCTTCACCATGATATTTTGCCACCGATTATTCACCGAGACATTAAGTCGACCAACATCCTACTCGACGTCGATTACCGTCCCAAAGTTGCAGATTTCGGAATAGCCAAGGTATTGCAAGCCAGAGGAGGCAAAGATTCCACCACCACTGTCATTGCAGGCACGTATGGCTACTTAGCACCCGGTAACATTTCGACTCAACTCGAAATTATATCTCGTTAATCCATATAAATCTAGTCTATGTTCTTTATCGAAATGTTTTAATTGTTTGGATTATGCAGAATATGCATATTCAAATAAAGCGACAACCAAGTGCGATGTGTATAGTTTCGGGGTCGTTCTGATGGAACTAATAACCGGAAAGAAGCCGGTGGAGGCGGATTTCGGAGAAAACAAGAACATCGTGTATTGGATATCGACGAAACTCGAGACAAAGGAAGGGATCATGGAGGTTTTAGACAAGAAGTTGTCCAATACATTCATGGATGAAACGGTTCAAGCTCTGAGGATAGCAATGCGTTGTACATGCAAGAATCCAACCGCACGTCCAACCATGAATGAGGTTGTTCAGCTGCTGATCGAGGCGGATCCTTGCAGATTAGATTCTTGCAAGTACTCAAGTAAGATGAAAGAAGAACCGAATGTCGGCAAAATAAAGAACCAATCAAATGTTTCATGCCAGAATCAATGGTAGATGATTGAGAAACCAGCCATAAAGAACAAATAAGTGGCATGTAGATTCTCTCCATCTTTTTTTCTTCTTTTTATTTTGTTTTTAGCTCTTGTAAGGACCAGGAATTTAATCATATACCTGCCTTATGAAATCATTGCATATCACCCTGAAACCGAAGAAACATTCAAATTTGATGTATTTTTAAATATAAGTACGAATTGAACATAATAACAAAAATTGAATACGTACTCATTAGAGAAGATCTACCTTCGAATCCGAATACGAAAATTTAAAAGTCAAACAAAAAATGCATTATGTTGTTCATGTACTAGGGTATTAGTTGAGGATTATTCAAAGGCTCATGTGCTTGCTTGCTTGCTTAACCGTTGATAGTGAGCCATGAAAAATCCACTCACAAGTTGGATCACCTTTTATATGTTTATTAAAGGTATTTGATGGGAAGAAACAGGATTCCTCCATTGTCTAATGAGGGTATTAATTATTTTTTAATAGTCTAGAATGATTATAAGACAGTATATATGTTCATGATCTTTATTAACCATCGATAACGTACACACACCCTGCAAGCACATCTTTTCGAACCCAAAACCTCAAGAGAGAACAACACTCCTTATAACTGTTGATGTCACTCGATGAGTTCAATTAATTATATAACATGTATAATGGAAAATTTCATGAATACTATGAAATCATTTTTGAAAACTTTATATGATAAATATTATAGGAAAATTGAACTAAGGGGGCATCATGATAATAATAATAGTGCATAGGAATAGTAAGTAGATATTGTCCATGAAATCATTTGGGTTACATGCATCAATGCTTGGGGAATTGAGTTTGAGGGGTCCCCCATAAAGGCAGAATGAGATTCATTGAAGGAAAAATAGTTGTCTTTTGGCATTTAGGCAATGATGGAGAGTCCATATTAGAAAGAAAAAAAGGAAAAAGTAGAACCTCTCAATGAGAATTGTTCTCAACCAAAAGGACATTATATCAAAAGCAGGCTTTGGCTATTCCTTCCACCAAAAATAAAATAAAGAAACAACGTTCAGCGATCCAAATTCTGCCGGTTTGGTTTTTTATTTTAAAATTTCATATTTGAATCGAGTTAAATTTTTTGGCTGTGGTCATATCAGATTTGTATTTAGGATAAAAAATATGATCTGATCTAACTCAATATAATATGGATTTAATTCAGTTCGAGTCAACCTTTAGATTTTTAAGTCAATCGTTGTCTCACTTTTTCGACACAACTTTTGGTGGTGTTTTATACTATTTATAATTCAATAATTTTATGTAAATATATATTGTCACATTCAAGTTGAGAGCTAGAAGTTTTACCTTAAATCAATTGAATTAATAAATCTTTAAAATCAAAAATTTTATCTGGATATATATTTTCATGAGTTCAAATTCAAAGTTAAAAGTTATTGCATCATATATAAAATTGATATTTTAACTGAGAAAATATTATATTGAACCATTAAACTATTACTAGAAGTGGTGGTTAATTAGTAGTATAATAAAAAAATGCAAATAAAACATACATCATTTTACTATTTATCAATGCTAAAAATAGATAATATAATAATAATAATAATAAATAATTCGTTCACTCAGACATAATTATTGGGTTAAATCGGGTCAAAATTCGGTTCGGATCGGATATGGGTAAACTAAATTCTGATTACTTTCGGTTCGGGTTAATTTGATTCGGGTTGCTTTTGGTCCAACTAAAATTATAGTCGGTTTTGTTCGATTTGAGTTATTTTAAGTTTCAGATCAATTTTGGGTCATCTTGTTTGGATATATATCGGATCTCGAATTGCTAAATCGGTTCAGACAACCGAGTACGAGTCAAATTTGTTAGGTCTAATCACTCTCTCCTTAAAAATTTCAAACTATCATATATTTTAAAAAAAAATTATTTATATTTTTAACTAATAATTTATTTTCAATCCTAAAATTAAAAATACGAGCCTTCCTAAAATTTTATAAATTCACCCCGTAGAATTCTATTTTCATCACTGCTTATGGGGTGTGTTAATGAATTGAAGATCACTTTGGACTGCATAGATGGCACATTATTAGAGGGATACACCTTTGTCAACTCTCTTTTCCTTATAGCAACACTTGGAATTAGAGACAAATTATTGTACTTTTTGCAACGTAGAACAAGAATCAAGGGACCACATCTTCTTTACTTGGAGATATTCTAATAAATTCTTTCAACGTGTAAACTTTATAACAGTAGTATTCCATTCGGTCAGAAAATAATGTTGTATAGCAGACCAAAGCAAAAAGTACCCAATAATGAATTTTACCTAATTTAATTGGACAGCAAAATAAAGTTATCAACAATGATGGATCACTGAGTTGAGTTGCCACTCGGAGCCTCAAAGGATAAAAAGCAGAGGTTGTAAATTGGTAAGCGTGGAGCTAAACTATATTGACACCTAGTAAAGGGGGAAGGAAATTAAGTTAGACTATGATGTTTGCAATACCAAAAAATGACATTATATTATTTCTTTTCTTTTTTCGTACTATATCTTTTGTTTTTATTTTTTTTAATCTTAATAAGAATTTATATCTTTGTAGTACGTTTTTTCTATTTTAGTGGTACGTTTTTTAATTTTTTTTCTACTCTAATGGTACGTTTTTTCTTATTCTTATAGCACGTTTCTTATGATTTTTTATGCATTTTTCATATGCTTCTGTGGTTGTTTTGGTGCTCGCATAAAGATCCTCACGATATTTATTTTTTGATTGATTTATTGGTGATTACATATAATCATAATCTCTCTTTGATAAAAAGTTGTTTGTCAATATAAACAGAATTACGTAGCGAAACAACTTGTCAGATAGTTTGGTTCACTCACCACTCCTTTATCACTTCGTAAAGTGCATCGTTCGATATAGACAATGAGTTTTATGTCGACCACTGAATTTTTTTTAATGTTAGACGTTATCCTCAAAAGGAAATTTTATTTTTCTTCGTATCATTAAATTTAATAATTTTATTTTATGTATAAACTTTTTAATGACTATTTACATTAAAGGTCATATACATTAACTCTTTTTAAACTTCTTACAGTAAATAAAAACAGACTTGTAGTCATCATTTTTGTTCGGGAGTTCAAAGGAAAAACTGAAAGACCAAAAACTAATAAATAAATAAAAACCCATTCTTTTTTACAAACCTATGGCCGAATACAAAGGACCCAAATTACACCAAGCTTACCTGTACCCAAGGCGGCCCATATTTAATTCAGCCCAACAGGTAGGTTGGATCCCACGCACACCAAGTTGGAGTTCTATGCGTCCCTGGCCCCCTCCTCGCTCCACAGAGCAGATTTTTTAGCAAGGTAGATTGTTCAAATATCGATTTATGAAATCAATATGATTTTTTTTCGTATATGTGAATAACTGATTTTTACGGATTTAAGATATTTTATATATGAATATATTCGATTTTATCGAACGGTTTAAAATGATAAAATATTATTATTTTATTACATGAGTATTCATATATTCAAGTACTTTGAAGAAAAATGCTAAATAATATATACAATATGTTAAATATTTCGGTTAATTAACTGATTTCGAAACCGAATTAACCGAAGTTTTAAACACCCCTAAAGCTAAATAATATATACAATATGTTAAATATTTCGGTTAATTAACTGATTTCGAACCGAATTAACCGAAGTTTGAAAAAGACCATAAACCCTTAATCGACTGAACCCAAAATTAACCTACCGATTAACTGTCCAAAATTTCGATTTGGTCTGTTAATTCTTTTAACTGAATTACAAACGCCCCTAGGATAAAGTGTCAAATAAAGGTCTCGTTCGGTTCCTGAGTAGGGATGGGTAACATTTTGACCAACCCAATCCAATTCAAAAATATATTTCTTTCATTCAAAATTTAACCCAACTCGAATTTAGGGTGACTTCACCCGACTCAAAACCCAACCCACCTTTTGAGATAAATCCCGAACCTGAACCCAAAACAAATATATTTATAAAAAAATATTAATTATAGTCAATAAAATAAGGATTTAATTGAAAACAAAATAACATAGAGAGAGGTATTGCTACAATTATCTTTAAATATATAAGGTATTATTACATTATTTTTCGAATTGAGCATTTTTTTCTTAAATCTGAACCGACTCAAACTTATAATCTAAAAATTTCGACCAGACCTTAACTTAATTTTTTTATAAAAAAAACAAACAAACCCAATAACATTGAATCGGGTCACAACCTGTACCCATCCCTATTCCGAAGTTATCCGTGTCGGACAAGTTTGACCAATGGTGACCACTTATAATCGAGCTTACTAGGATGCTTCTGAGAAGGATAAATGATTCCAGATATTCAAGAAAAATGTGGAATATACTGAATCCCATAAAACTGATACCACCCAAAAGTATATAGCTCGGTGTTAATGAATTTACAGATTGGACCGACGAGCATAGACGGAGCTATATGGAGAGTGGGAGGGGCTCTTGCCCCTCCTAAAATATTTGGTTTAATAACATTCTAGATCCTTATTAATTTAAAATTAAGTAAAATTATATTTCTATTCCTTTTAATTTTATAGATTAAATATTTAATTAACTTTATTATTTTAAATTTAAATAATTTATCTCTTTTAATATTTGATCTTAGCTCCGTCCCTATAGATAATGTGTTTAAATCCATGAGAAATGGTTATAAAATGAGAGGTTCGACCATTGTTGCATCTCCAAAAACATCTTCGTTCCGGAACGCAAATGCGAGTGCATTTCCAACTAGCATGGATTGGAGAATGTGCACATTCCTGTACCATGTAGTGGCTGCGGTTTGGTATGGAGAAGATGATGATGGGAGCAAGCATTTATTGGAGAAAATTTCATTATAAAGTGTTACTTTATAATAAAATAAATAAATGAAAATGGGACATGAAAATTTATATTAATTGAAATTTAATTTTAAATATAATTAATTACGTTTTAATTTTTTTCAATATATATATAATAATGTATATATCGATATGATGAATATGACATTTACTCTAGAATTATCCCATTTTGAACATGTAGCAAGGCTTTTAAATTACGGACAAC